ATATATATATATATATGACACTAAATTAAAACGGTGGGTTGACGTTGCTGTGTTGCTGTTTTATAACCGTCTTGAACAACCACCCAAATCTTTGGGGTTACGACTACTAATGTTCAACTCCGTAGCCTTGTAATTTTGAACCCAATACAGAAGACAAGCCTGGATCAAATATCGGAGAAATTTGCCTTCGTGGAGGATTTTTTGATGGAACTAACCATCATTTGCGTTACATGGTGATTAAACCCACGGAAACCTCCCACCTGTTACAATGTCACAACTTAATTTTTGAATTTTGAGTGTTCCAAAAAATACTAACCAAGTATTTTTCTTCATTTTTGCTCTTTGTGTCTTATTCAATGACAAGATGAGAATAATCTCAGAGTTGAGTATAAAAAGACAGCTACCAATGGAAAAACAAGAACTTCTTTTGAGTGAAACCGATCATTTTAGCAATAACGCAGGGCAAGGTGCAAGCCTGGTAGCATAAGGCGCAGCTGCAAGAGGCGCCGAATAATTGGATGGGCGGCGAATTTTGGTAAGGCTAGAATTTTTAAAAAAAAATTAATTTTTCTCTCCCTTCTAAAAGCTTTAAATTTTCGCTTCCTTGTAGAAAAATAAAAGTTAAAGTCAACTTATTTTCCTTAAGTAATTTGTTGATATCTTCCTAATACTCTGGCAAGAAATAACTTTGTGAACTGCATTGTCTCATCTCTTTTTCCCAGTTCAGATGACATCCCGCCCTGATACTTTTTCAATCTACTGGTGTAGATGGCGCTCACTCATAGAAACTAAAGTCTATTGCGTTTCTTTTAGAGTTTCGTAAAAAATAAAAATAAATAAAAGAAAAAAAGAGAGAGAGAGAGACCATTGTAAGGTAGGAGACGCGTTGACTTACTTTTACTGGGTTCAGCATTGGTCTATTCACAAATTCACAAAAAACATTTGACACTAAATTTCTGGCAAAATCAAATAGGCAAAGGGTGGGTTCTAATTTGTTGGGAAAATTAACAAATCGCTTTATAAGAAAAAGGGAAAAACCGAAAACCCTTAAATTTCCTGCTGCACCTTTCTTTGAAAGAAATTTCTATTAGTTTTTCAAATTCTGAAAGTACAAAATCAATTACAAGTTCAAGTTACTCTTTGCTTCATCTGAAGAGTAAATTCAAAATGTATCAGATAAAATTTATTATCCTTCCATTAAATAATAGTTTTATAAATGTTCACTTTTTCGAGTTAATTATTTAATTAAAAGTTTTATAATCATTTTGTTTCACTTTATTTTATCAATTTCATTAAAATACTTAAATTTCAGTTAAAAAGAAAATAAACGCCTGCTTAGACATCCTTATTGTCTTCAAAAACGTGAGTATAGATACCAAGCTTGTTGTCTTGTTGTTACGAGACTCTATCAGAAAGTAAAATAATCTGTCGTTCTCTACTTCTCTAAATAATAAATCTGACTAAATAATAAAACTTTTAGTAAAAAAGAACAACATTTTATTTACATAATAATTTTCAGACGATTATTTCTTATTCCACAAAAAGGAAAACGTTGCCATGGCAAATCGGCAGTTTTAAAAGAAATCAAAAGTTAGCTTTTAGCTTACATAAAAAGTAATTAACAACTTTTAACACTTGTAGCTACTTTGTGAATTAAAATGTTAAGAAGCTATCAAAAGCAAGCTGTTACTTAGATTAAGAACCGTTTGTAACACCAGCAAACAGATGTGACAAAATAAATTCAATTTGAGTTTTAAAAAATGCTTTCAAATAAAATTGAGTAAAATTATTCTGAAAGGAGAAAAACTCTATTAAGTATAATATGTTCCCACGCTATCGACACATAACACCATTGATTAGAAAAGTAAAATCAGGTCAAGCGAAAAACATCACCGTTGAAACGGAAGAATGCAGTAGTGCTGAATCTGATGACTTAGAAGACATTTATAAACGGAAGCCAAATTTTGAACATTATTCTTACCCAGATGATTATTGGAAATTTAAAAAGTCCGTAAAATATCTAAGTTATGGACGACCTATAATAAGTGCTTTAGCTTTGATTACTGCGTATGATTGTGATTTTCAGGATCCAATTATGTTAAAAGCACTTCAAGAACACAGGATTTTGGAAACTCTTTTGAATTTTTTGAAAAGTGACGAAAAAAGAATTCAAGCAATATCTCTAAAGTTCCTAAAGAAACTTGCTAAAATCCGAGTTTTGCGCCATAAAATTGTCTATCTTAGAGGAATAGAAGCTTTGGTATTGCTTTTAGAAGAACCTCAAATTGATCTTAAGCAAGAAGCTGCTGCAGTTATAACAGCTATTGCTGATTTTCATAAAGCTTGGCAAGCAGTACGTGTCTCTGGTGGTATACCATTGCTCGTAAATATGATATACTTGCCGAATCGACTTCTTCAAGACCAGCCAGAGTCTATGAGCCAACAACAAAAAGATGTTTTAAAAGCAGCAGAAAATGCAGCAGAAGCTTTGTTTACAATCTGCAAATGCCGCAGAAATCAAATGGAGTTTTTAAATAGCGGAGCTTTAAGGGGCTGCAAAAATATACTAAAAACGCCACACGTTCGGCTATGTACTTTAGTTCTGCAAATAATTATTCGGTGCTCCCATCAAAAAATCGTTCGTTTAGTCGTAAAAAATTTGAGAATGATAGAAAATTTCAGAATCCATTTTTATAGCGAGGATCAAAGTTTAATGCAGGCAGCTGCGCGTGCTGCATTTTCTTGCGCCGAAGGAGATGAATCTAGAGCATTTTTTGGGAAAGCAGGCTTTGTTGACAAGTTATTCGAAATAATGCAAACTTCTGCCTTCCATTCGAATTATGAACTCATGGCATCCATTTCATGTGCATTGTGGAGATGTTCGGAAAATGAATCCAATTTAAAAAGAATTCAAGCTCTGAACGCTGGTCCTTTGATGATACAGCTTCTGAATTCTCAACCAAAACATGTTCAAGAATATTTAACAGCGTGCCTAGGTTGTTGTCTTACAAACCCACAAATCAGAACGGTGATCAGGAAAAACAATGGTATTGAAACGTTGATAGGACTTTTACATACAACGCACCCGCCGTTAATCATGCATCTAAATAAAGCATTAGCAATTGCTTCTGATGATAACGATTGCTTGCAAATAATGGAAAAACACGATGCCCTGCGTTTAATATGGTCGCATCTAAAGAATGAAAATCCATCAGTTGTGTCCAATACAGCATGGCAGTTGGCAGCCATAATGAAAAACTTTATTAATTCAGCTGCTTACGTTAGATCTTTGGTTGGCGGTGTACAAGTCTTAATGGAGCGCTTGCGTGGTGAACATAACCGTGTGTCGACGCCAATATGTGCTTTAATTGTGGTTCTTAGTCAAGATCCTGAAAATGTAAGAATTCTAACAGACTATAAAGTTGTGCATTGCCTTTCAGAGTTGACCAATACCACATGCCGCCGTCTAAGATACCATCTATGTATGGCGATTACTGCCGTTTGTCCTTATAAAAACAACAGAAAAGAATTTACTAGAAGAAGAGTTGTATTGCCTTTGATAAGAATTCTAAAAAGTAAGACTCCTGAAGTTGCTGGGGCGGCTACACATGCCCTATATCAATTGGCTCACATTCCTGTGTGCTGTGCCGTGATGTATAATAGTTCTGGTGTGTATGAAATTTTAATGAAGCAATTGAAAAGCGAGAACAGAGACGTTCAGGAATGTGCAGCCGGTATTATACAAAAGATGCGATTGTTTCCCCTTAATCGGGATGGAAATATCCCCACGTGGCTCATAGAAAAACATTCAGATCATTTTTCTTGATAAAATGTCACAAAACTTTATTTCTTGAAGTGCAATAAATTTGCTTTTAAAATTTTTTCTTTCATAGATAATTTCACGGTATAAAATATGACAAATCTTATTTTAAAATTTTATTATATTCCGCAATAATGTAATATTTTATTATATTCCGCATTTATTTAACGCATATAAAATGAATGGTCCCGCAGTGGACTGATCGTTAAGACACGGTTCCCAGCAGATGTCCGAAGTCAAGTATCACTGGCTACGGTCAGTCTGCGGGTGGGTGACCACTTGGATCAGCCTGCGTAGGGACCGAGGGTGTGCGGTATTGGTCCTCGTTAAACTGTTCTACCGTAAAGTGCTCGACTTCGCGTGCAGGTCGTCGGGCTACCGAAGCGGGGGTGCCATCCCCTCTGCAGAGGATCAAAATTGTGATGGCATGTCTTCGGATCATCATCAGGGATGTTACCCAGACCGTCGCCAATAGCCCATTGTGCAGCTCTAGTGTGACGTAAATGAACAACAACAACAACAACAATAAAATGAATGAGTGCATGATTATTAAAATTTGATAATTTTTTGATGAAATTCATTTTAGCATGGTGATTTTTTGCTTCTCGCTTGTATTCTCTAAAACGCAAAAGCTTCTTTCTTTTTTTTNTTTTTTTATTTTTTTTTTTTTTTTTTTTTTCTTTAAAGAGCTTTTCAGATTTAATAATTTATTATTCATGAAAAAAAATATTAAAAGCTTTCGGATACATTCGAGGACATTTGAGAACGTATGTTAAGACTGGAGAGCATTTTCTGTCCTCGAAGAGTTTGAAAGATTTTGGAAACAACTACTGAAATTCGGGAAGTGTGTCTGGTCACTTTAACTATAGTGCGTCAACCAGCATATAATTTTATTATTTTTCTTCATATACATTTAGTCTATAAGTTTTGTACTGGATTAAATATGCCAAATGGATTAGATATAGCAAAAGCTATTTATTCAATAATTTTGAATTTTCCATTCAGATACTTTTAAACACCAAATTTAACCCAACATTAAACTCACCAGATGAATAAGTGTATCTCACTTTTTAAAAAAATTTATTTCTTAAAAAATCATATCCTGCTTTAAACAGGTAAAATTCATTAAAACAAGATCAATACATTATGATTCTTATTGTTAAGGTCTAATTTTAAACTTATTCTTTTTTGTCAATACTTAAATATTTCTTTATTTACTAAATAATTCACACTTATTGTCAATAATGATTCGTCGCGTTATAGTGACATGTAATATCTTCTTTAAAATTTTGGTGCTTGATAATGGTAGAATAATTAATATCGAAAAAAATATATATTAAAGGTATTAAGACCTGCGTTAGGTATTTATAATATTAATGTATTAGATTAATATTTATATTATCTATTTTATATATAATAGAATTCATAGCATTTTATATATAATATAACAAAATTCAATATTTTATATATATTATTATATAATATCTATGTTATAGAATATCCTGGATGTATAAATATACAGAGTGATCTGTAATTACGCCTTTTAACATATATTTGTCAAGTCCTTGCAAAAAAATGAAGTAACAAAATCTACACAATAAGGTAGAAAACATATATTTAAACTATGGAAAAGCAAAAACGATATCAAAATCTGAAGAATCACTACTGAGAAAAAAAAGCCGAATAAAAAAAACATTTTTCCAGTTTGACTGTATTTTACAATTTGGAATAATCAGAATCATATTTCGAATCCCCCGGGAGAATTTTTTCACTCATCTCTGAAAAGAATATTAAAATATATGATGCCTGGCTTTATAAAAAAAAATAAGATTTATTTACTTATTTGAAATTAATTTAGTAAAATATTTTTCAAATACCAGCTGCAAAATTTACAGTGTGCTGCATTTAAAAAATTTATTGAAATATTCCATAATTCAAGTCGAAAATATATTTATCTATTTATTTTTTCATTAAACCTAAATGCATTGAAATGTTCAATCATTTTCTAACTTTAATCGACAACAACAAAAAATTTTAATTAATTTTACTCTGATTTTTCTTACTAAAAACATTTTTTCAACCATGATTCTTTTAAATTTTTATTCTTTTATGTACCCCTCTTTCATTTCACAAAAACATATAATATTCAATCATCAACAATCTTCACAGGTCGCTTTCTGTGGCGGTAATACCAGACCAGCACCCTCAACTCGCTTAAAATCTGGCAGTGACGTTTTAAAGGTTATTATTGTTATTATTTCAGTTGGATCTCCAGTCTCTTGTTCTGAACTTGCGTCAACCAGTTAAAACTCTGTATTGCAGCATGAATGAAGCTGAGCTAATAATTTTATACTTTTACTTACTTTTAATATTTATATCTGCCTAATAAAATGTCACCTGATCTATTTACAAAACGGGAAACGTTCTATAGGACGCCGCAACTTAAAATCGAAACCTCGTGTATTGAGTTTATGAAATTTTTAAAATAATTTTTTTAACAAGTTCACGCTTCTGCCGATGAAATAGAGGAACAAATAGCAAAATATTGTTAACGCGAAAAATAAGCTCCTTATAATGTCTATGAATCATCGAACTTCAATAAATTAAAATTAGCTTTTATAAGTTGGCAACAGTAAATGAAGAACGATTTTGATTATATATAAATTTATGAACGATATATAATCATCATCGAAGAAATAATCCAGAATATAAAGAAAGATGCCAGTTTTGAACAGATAAATTACCTCGATAATATTTTGACATTTTTATGTTGTTCTATATCAGTTATTTCAATGATTTTTCTAGTTTTAAATTCATTGCATAGCGAAGATTCATTTGAAATATCAAAGTATACACTCTCTACGGAAAATACAATCGAAAATTACAAGCGAAACTACGATTTTTGAAATTTTATTACCTATGTGCATAAAAAGTGGCATCAAGTAATGAAGACGTAAAAAAAATTTACCATATTGAAAATTAGCCATTTTTATTTTCTGGACATAATTTATTACTTTTCTTACCTAACGTTTCACTTATTTACTATATCTAAGGAAGCGTGTTCATTCTAAGTATGTATTTGACAATGACAATCAATATTAATTTTAATACTTGTCGCTCTTCTTTTTAATTGTCTTATGAGAAATATGTTCTATTCTTTTTTTCCCAATTTATTCTTAATTTTTCTGCAATTTTCTAATAAGTTAGCTGTAAAATATAATAAAATAATTTAACTATTTTGAGAGGAATTAAATAATTTATTTCCACTATTATTATTAAAAACTTTAACATTTTAATTTTTTTTTAAAAAAATAATATTTGTAAGTAGTTTCTCTAAACATAAATAACAATTAACCATAATTTTCTTGATTTTTAAATTTTTTTAATTTGTGATAAAAAATAAGTTTCAAGTTAGATTCATGTTCATTTCTTCATTAAAATTTTGATTCTTACCTTCCCACCCTGATTTATCTCTTCCATTAACAATCATTAATATATAAGGTAAGAAAAAATAATCAAAATGCGAAAGTTTACCTCAAAAATTAAATTTGCTAATTTCAAATTTAATCAAATTGAAATTTTGCTTTGGAACAGTTTTACCAAATTTTAACTGAAACATTTCACTGTTTTATTTCATCTCTTATTGAATCTACCTTGATTGATAAAATAAGCACTAAACTTGCAATAAAATCTTTAGCTAATAGATATAATTAAAGTCACTGTTTTTTCTTTTGTGTTCCTAACTTATTTAATTTAAGGAATTAAAAAGCATGAATTTTATTAATTAGCATTGTTTTGTATTTAAATGTTGTTGAAAATCTAAATTTTTATCATAAAAACAAATTGGAAGAGCTACTGAGTAAGTGAGCTCTTACTTAGTTCTCTAGTTACTAATAAGCTCTTACTAGTTCTGTCATTTTTCAGAAATACGAAGTACATATATATATATATATACAATATTTAAAATGTATTAAGGAATTTATTCTTTACTTGCCCTCTGAAAAATTTTTTTTGGATACTCTTGAGGATATTGTTATTACATTTCATACATACAATTATTTAATTATAAAATTTTAATATATCGTAATATTAAACATGCAGTTTAATTTTATACTGAAACATATATTGTTTCATAATAGGCATTGAAAATTAGCGTCATTGACAATTCTCTTTCCTCCCCCAATATAAAAGGGGAAATATTTTTATGTGCGTATTGGCTAACATAAATCATCACTGCCAGTTCTTGTACCTGCAATATTTTAAAAGAAAGAAAAACATGTAGTGGCTTGTCAGCATGAGAGTTGCTTGAAGTTTATCTCATTATATGATTTTATTTTTTTCGCTTTCTACTGTCTGATTTTTGCCAAAACTAGACAACTTTTTTGGCATAGCCGCTGAAATTCTCATATGGAGGCCTTCCCACATGAAGATTGCTTGGGTTGTATTGGCAGTTCAAAGTGAGCAATATTGAGGCATATTAATTTTATTGTTACCCTAAATGCTTTAAAATATGAATATATAAAAATATCAACAAACAGATTTGTGGCCTTTGGCACACATTCTATGAAACACATTTCATACTTATGAGCAATGTCATACTGTAATTCTCACGTTTTAGCATAGTTTGATTTGATTAATTTATAAATAAATGGCATAGTAGACATGCTGTATACCTTCCAAAGACATTTCTTTGACTAAAAATTTAAATATTCTGACGCACAATGAATTTGCATGCCAAAGCATTTCCACCTTGTGTTCTTGTAAATAACAATAATAATATGTCATGTAATGACTAGAATTATGATGAATATATCTTTAAACTATTTCTTTTTATTTATTTATTTTTTTTAGTCAAAATTTGGTTTGCCAGCTAAAAAGTTGCTTGATGTTTGTCTCATTCTGTGATTTAATTATATTTATATTTTTGATTGCTACTGCCTAGTAGTAGCCAAAACTAGGTCCCTTTTTTGGCATCTTTACTGATCTTCTCTGATGAAAGCTTTCCCACAGAAAGATGCTGCTTGGGTTGCATAAACTGGTCAAAATATACAATAATGAGACATAATAGTTTGTTACTCTGTACAGGATGTGTTTTGAAATTGAAAATGGAAAAATGTCAACAAACAGGACTGTGGCATTTGACATACATTTTATGAAACATAATTCTCATTAGTGAGCTGTACGTCATACTGCAATTATTAGATTTTAGCATAGTTTGATTTAATAACTTATAAATTATTGACTTTGCAGGCATTTTTTTAAGTGATAAATTTTAATATTATAATGTAAGTAAAATTTCCACCGCATGTTTCTGTAAATAATAATACCTTGACATATAATTACTAGAATGCTGTTTAACTTCTTTAAACTATTTCTCTGTTTTTGTTTTTTTTTAAATCAATAAGCAATAACTAGATATTTTTTGCTGCTAAAATGTGTTGTTCTGTACATGATTCCTAAGTATCTATTTCTTCATCAAATAAAATTTTCTTTGAGTTTAAATAAATTGTAGGAAGTTTAAATGTTCTTTAGTAGCATATCTCTATTGTCAAGGTAAAAAAATTTTAATGTTTATTTGAAAAATGTCTGTTTGAAGATTAGTTAAACGTTATACTGTTTAAATATTTTAGTGCAATAATTATTTATTACGTGTTTATTTTTTTTGTATTAGATCTTCTTTCTTTCATATGAAAATTTTATAAATTATTTTTCTTTGATTTAGAATCGATTTAAATGCCAAGCCGCTGTTGGATTCTTGGGTGTCCGTCCAATGTTGATAGATCCAACACAAAGTTTTTTAAATTTCCCCATGATGAGGAACTAAAACAACTTTGGATTGATGCTATTGGAAGAGATGTTGCACCTTCTGATTTTTCCAGGGTTTGTTTCCTTTCATATTTTATTAATCGTTCAGATGCAAGTGAGATAGTTTTTAATAAATAATATAAAATTTCTGCCTTACTTTCATTTACAAATGTTTTGAAGCATTTTCTGAAAATTTTTAAAAACTTAAAATAGGTAATTTTTTAGCTTTATAAATATTTATATTTATAATTCAATATGTTAATCATGATGTTTTAAGAATCTAGTCATTATTTTACATTATTGAAACTTGAATTATTGTTAAACACATTTTTAATTACATATTTAGAATTTTAAAAACATAGTCAAGAAATGTTTGTGGAATTTTTTAATCCAATATCCCTGTCATTTTAATTATACAGTTAAAGATACAACCTATTATTAATCTATTAAAAAGAAATATATATAGTTTGATGAAAAATTCTAATACTTGGGATAAAATAAAAACCTGAACAAAGAATAGAATTCAGAGACACTTATTTGATTGTTATTGTTTAAGAGAATTAATTGGAATTTTTGAAATAAAGTTATTGAAAAACTAAATTGTTAGAAAAATTAGTCTTGCACTTAAAGACTTTCTTTAAAAACAGTGTTTTTACTACTCCCATATCCAAGATCTGCTGACTGGAAAGAGTTCAAATATAATTTTACAACTTCAGGTACATTTTCCTAAACTTAATTTTTAGTTCAAGGGGAATTTTTATTCTGTTCTAGCATTGCAACACTTCTTTTCTGTTACATGTAATTTTATTGTGGTTTTAACTTATTTTCATATATTGCTATTTATATGTTTACAAATAACAGAAGCAGAGAGAGCCTGGTTAGGGTAGGGGCATAAGGGACTGTTGCCGTGGATCCCCACAACAGAGGGGGGATCCCAAATTGATAGAAAGTTTATTTTATGTTTCTTTCTTTATTGAACTTTTTTTTCAAACAAAATATCAGTACAGAGTAAAATCCGTCAGTTTCATGTTAGCTTCGTTATTTCTTCATTGTATGAACACAAGAAATTTGTATTTCGTAAATCCATGGCTTTCTAGGTAGGATTTCTGCTAAATTTTTGCAATCACGATGGACAAATTTGGCCCTTCAAAAGCCTGTATTTTTACATATTGCAAAATGTGATATGTTTACAAAAATCTGGACTTCTGATTGGCTTAATTGAGCTATTGAAATTGCAAAAATTTGGCTGAATTCCACCCTAACTTCAGCAAGGATATCAATTTTTCCCAACTAGATGACAAGGTTAACAATCAGAAAACTGCATTCGGTGCGAGGGACAGAACTATATTTCGCCTGACCATTGAAGGTGGGACTTTATAGCTAATTTAGATTCTAATAAATTTTCTTGTGATCCATAATTAGGTTAAAAATTTAAAAACCACCCTAAAGTTCTGTTCTTCATTACTGATGTAGTGAAGCAGAGTGGGTCCTCAAAAGAAGTTTTGGCCCCAGGCCCCAATTAGGCTAAGTCGGGCCCTGGAAGCAGAAGATCTTTTTAAGCTTTGTTTTGTCAATATTTTTATTATTTATGAAAAACACAGGATACTTATTCCACTTAAATATGGAATTAATTAATGAAAAAGGAAGAATTGATAAGGAATGTTTTTTGTTTTGTTTCAGGTGTGCTCCAAGCACTTTAGGCCTGAAGATGTTGAATCTCTCAGCATTATACCACTGGTTGACTCTGCTAACAATATACCGTCTCGCCTCAAACTTAGAGAAGGAGCTGTACCTTGTGTATTTGAGGGTCTAGTTCCTAGAAGACAACGCAAAAAGTCATCACCAAAACGCAATCTCTCTCCTGAAAAAACAAAGAATTCAAAAGGTGCTATCTTATGTACATATATTATATATGTGGGGGTATTGTCAAACTTATTTATAACACAATTATTTTCAGAGTCTCTTTAAACCCCTTGTGACCAAAAAGTGACTTTATTGTTCCTTATTATGCTGAATGGGGTTAAAACGTGCAAGATTTGTTTGTTATTGAATGTTACCATTATTCAACATACATCACTTATGGTGCAGAAATAGGTGCTTAATTTTTAAACTTTGTTTTTCAAGGTGAAATGTAATATCCGGCAAAAGTGACCAATCCACTTGGACAACTTTTTTTTTATATTTAAATAACGTCAACTGTGAGAACTATTGCTTGAAATTTCAAATTTTTAAGTATAAACACCAAAATTGTTAGTAATTTTAGTTAGGCTAAAACCGGTGATGAAATTTAGCCGGTACACACATACTGGCTTTTAAAATTTCTGAAGTACCACATACCAGTTCTTAAAATTTCTATTAATTCAAAACATTACATTTTGGAAGGAGTTTGATTTGTAGTTTACTGAAATAAGTGTATTGTGGATTTTTACTGAATTGGAGCATTTAATATATTTCAACAATTTTTAGTAATTATTTTTGACTTCATTAGAAATGAAGAGACTACTAAGTTAAGTGAACTACAAAAGACACGTTTATAGAAAAGAAACATTAAGTGCTAACCAGGCAGGCGAAACCAATTATCCTGAGCGCTAAACACAGGACGAGTTTAATATTTTTCTGGAAAATTTTAGGGATTAATAGTCGTTAAAAATAAATTGGGATTTGATTACTGTTTCAAATTGGGTATAACAAAGGTATTCATGTTTCTGAAGAATAGAGAATGCATAGTGAAAAGTGGGGCCTTTGGAAAATGTAAAAAAGAACCAGTGGACGTTTTTGAAGAAGAAAAAAATTAATTACTTCATTTCAAAATGATAGGGTGACCTGGGGTAATTCCTGATCAAAAAACGCAAACATCTGTTTTGTGAAAAAACTATTCAAAATAGAATTTTAATATTTACTGGAAGTTTGAGGCTATATGAGATGAGTCCTATGCCACCTTCTTTTGTTTGAAAATCTAATTAGAATTTAAAAGATTTTAAATTTTTAGTGATCAGGAATTACCCCTGGTCTTGATCATTTCTGGGGTAATTCCTGATCACTTCTGGGGTAATTACTGATCACCAGTTTTTATTGTAAAGGGGCTGTTTAAAAATAATTATATAATGGTAATTAACAAATAAGACATCAAGATCAAACAAATAAACCAAAAAGATATGTTTAAGCAGCTAATAAAATGATTTATTTAAAAGCAAGAAGAACGATTAACACTTTAAATTTTCAAAAATCTTTGCATCGTGCCATACATTTTAGGCAATCAGCCAACTCATTCTCATGTTCTTCTGAAATATAAGAGAGTTCCCACATGGGTTACTTTTGCTGGATTTTTTAACTTCATTAAGGGAAAGTGTAAAGTTAAGTAAGGTATGTCAACAGCTCTGGCAGCAGCTCTCACACTGAAATTTTCATTTTCAATCATTAAAAGAAATTCACTAATTTTGTTTTCTAGAAGCTTAGTATCCTTTTTAGGCTTATAATTTCTCACCATATTTATACTAGGCTAATTTATAAACTTAAAAATTATTCTAACAATTATACTAGGCTAATTTATAAGCTTAAAAATTATTCTAACGATGTACACACATAAAATTAAGATAGAAGCAAGGTAAGACAAATCAGAAATGGTGCAAATCAGAATACAGTCTTGTATACAGTTAAAAACAAATTTTGTGATGACAGTTAAAATATATTTTATAGTTGTTCCACTTAATAAATATGAACTGTTATTTAAGAAAAGACAAGTTAGTACAGTACAGAACCCGTTATCCGGAAATCAGAAAACCGGAAAACCAAAAAACCGGAACAAAATTCGATAAATTTTCCCACCATTATAAAAAAAAAAATTTTTTTTTCCTTATAAAGTTTTAGGATTTTTTGTTCTTTTTTGAAAGATGTTTACCTTACCATCATTTTGGAAATAATCCTTAGTGTATTGCTCCATCGTTTTTTCTTTTTAAGATTATTTCCAAAAAAAATTATTTTGTAGTTGTGTTTAACAATAAAAAAACGCCTTTTTGTAGCGATTCAGAAAACCGGAAAAATCAGTTATCCGGAATAGCGATGGTCCCGATCGTTCCGGATAATCGGTTCCCTACTGTATTTATAAGCTATTTTATATACTATTTATAAGAGGAAATGACAATGATCAGGAATTACCCCAGTGATCAATAATTACCCCATCTGTAGGGGGCAACATTTGATATAGTTTCCTATAATCAATTCTAATATTTACAGTAGATGTGAAACAATTAAACAAAAGCTTACACTACTTTTATATCAAAGAAAAAGAAAGTGACTCAAAATATTTATTATTAAGAGAAGGAGGGGGATCTTTGCAGAATTGTGCACATTTTGAAACCCATCTTTGAAATGGAAAATACAGAAAGCAGTTTAAAAGATACTTATTTTGTTAGATTAAAACAAAAAATTATTATTAAGTAAATGTAGTTATACTCTAGTAAAGTGTACAAGCATTCTTGTCCATGTCTTAAATTTAAAAAAAAATAATTTTTTTAAAATAAAACCTAGGTGATCATTATTTACCCCAGAAACAGAGTGATCGTGAATTACCCCGGGTCACCCTACAACATATGTTAGCATAGTTTTAAAGTGTCACAAATTAATCTGATATGCATAGTTGTCAAAATTAATGAAAAATGCATAGAGTCAACATGTAAAATAATTAATACCATGTGCAGTTTGACAGAACATTGTTTATTCTCAGAAATTGAAGATGAAATTGAACTTCAAATAATAAATGAACTGTATATGGCGACTGGTGTTCATTCAAGAAAATCAGCAACAAAAATTTTGTACCCTATGTCCTATAAATTAAAAATGATATAATTGGTAAAAAAGCAAATAAGTATTTAAAAATTTGACCTTTCTTTTACTAACTAAGAATTTTCTATTTTAATTTATCAACATACAGGGATGAGATTCTTCCGCGGATTTCCGCTTTTTTTCAGAGTTTTCCATTTTTTCCGCTGAAAATTTTTTTTTTTGCACAAGTTAAAATATTTTATGAGGAATTTCATTTTCCCCGGAGCGAAATTATTGAAGTCCTTATTCCTCCCTCTGAAGTTTCTCTAAAAATAATTTCCTAGGGATAAAACTGGTTGACCTTTATACAGGGATGAGATTTTTTTTGCTTTTTTCTTCAGCCTTTTTATCAAAAACTCCGATTCTCTTAAAGTTTCTTTTTTGAAATTTTTTTTTAAATAAATATCCCGCTTTTTTTTGAAAATTCAGTTATTGAAATAAAATAATTATATTTATTTACGATTTTCAAAGAAAAACAGAAAATTCAAACTATGTCCTAGCTGCTAACCCTTCCGCATTTTTACTTATGTTAGCTATTTTCTCCGATTTCACGCACAGAAAATAAGGTTTTCCGTGTTTTTTATCTGTCGGCGGGATAGCTCGTATTTTTTCGTAACTCAGACGTCGCTGCTTCTTGTATTCTGGAGTGAAAGCAAACAAAAAAAGAGCGAAAAAATAGAGGTGGATTTGCTGTGAAAATATTTATTTACTCATTCAATTAATCTTGTAAATATTTATTTATTATGTCTAAACAAAAAACAATACAAGCAAGCCTTTTAAAAATCCCAAGTCCAGACTCCGCAATTCACGCGATTTTTTGATCAATCATCGATTTTCGTATTTACCTGATTTAAAAGTTGCGCATTGCAATTCTTATTTACGCTTTTTAAATATCATACATTATGACTCGTATTTACGAGATTTAAAAATCGAATATCGTGTTTTGTATTTATGCATTTTTAAAATCGCGATTTTATTATCAAACATTGATTTTCGTATTTACCTGATTTAAAAGTTGTAAAAAGATTCTTATTCAGGCGATTTAAATATTGTACATTGCGATTCTTATTTACGAGATTTAAAAAAACCAATATCGCAATTTGTATTTACGAGCTTTTAAAACCCTGTGTAGCTACGCGAGCTTAAAATCCAATGCCGTGATTCGTTTTTGCGGTTGTAACATCGCTCAATTTAAAAATTATGAATCGTGATGGGGATTTATAATATATAAGTTTAAAAATCGCACTTTATTTGTCAAATTTTTGTTTATATATATATATAATATATATATATTCTCGGATTTCCTCTTTTTTACTTTCTGACTACTCTCATCCCTGCAACATAGCGGGAGGTGGGGAAATGCAAGGAAATCAGGTTTATTCAAAAAAGATCGCAATTCTACAACTAATCTTCAGCAAATACTTTTCTGTTTTGATCAATCAACAAATAAAGTTTTTTATTTTTTGAAAAAAAAAGAAAAAAGAGCATCAGAAAAAGAAAATTTGTAGGAAATCAGTTCCTAAAAGAAGGTTTTGTTTGCCCTGCTGATAAATTCATCTGTAAGTAAATTTTCTAAGGTTTTGTTGCTGTTTCAATTGTAAATTGTTTAATCATTTTATTACCATCATAGTTGGCCAGCCAGCCCAATGGGGGCTAATGCCTTCCTCTAAAGATTTCTCCATAATGACTTCCGATTTATCTTTGATCTCCAATTCTTTTCAATAATTGCACGAAAATCAGTCTGAACTGCGGCCTTCCCCGCCTTCTTGTTCCATTTGGTCTAAAAAGCAATTATCTTTTTACTGTATTGTCACCACTCATTCGAATCACATGGGCCATCCAATTCTTCTATTTATTTCTATGTATTTAATAATATCGGGTTGTTTATAAATCTTGTACAGTTCAAAGTTAAATCTTCACCGGTTATTGTTTTAATTTACACCACCTAGTATACTCTGCGAAATCTTTCTCTCAAATATTGCGTTACAATTTTCCTCTAGTTTTGTCATTGTCTAAGCTTCAGAAGCATATATCAAGACCGACCTGACAAGAGTTTTGTAAATAAGATCATATTGCTATTAAGTGTTTAAAAAAATCTTTGGAAATAAATTTTAATTAAAAATTGTTTTTATATTTTGCAGTTATGCCACGGAAATGCTGTGTTCCTGGATGCAAATCAAACTACAACAAAGAAGCTGTCTACACAACAGTATTTCAATTTCCATCTGATCCAGACAAAAAAAAGCTATGGTTAGAAAAGATCAATAGAGAAAACTTCAAACCAAGTGCATCTTCAGTTGTTTGCATTAAGCATTTTGAAGAGAGTTGCATCATCCGGGAAGATAGAGCTACCCGAGACGATGGCACTGAATTGGTTGTGCCAAGGAACAGGTGTACTCTAACTGCTGATGCAGTCCCAACTATATTTGAAATTTTAACCCCAAGTAAAACATCAACACCTAAGAAAAAACGTGTTGTTAAAAAGAAGAAAGAAGTTTCAAAAAGTGAGGAAAAAAGTATTTCTAATTCAGAACTTGAAAAGGAAACTATTGCTAATGAATCTTTGAACAAGTCAGCTTCAAACACTGATATTCAGAGTAAGTTTTTAAGTTACTGTAAGTCATCGAGTTAAATTTTAGTTGAAAAGAATGACAGTTACTGATTTAACATACAGATTCTGTTCTATTTATATATATAGATCAAAAGTGAAATTAAATAAGTTGTTGTCACTTCTAAATGTTTGCACTTACAAAATTTTGCAACATGACAACTAGAGCTATCACTAGACTTTAAGAAGTCCTGTAAAAGCATTTTGCAGGGCCTTCTTTTTCTTCTATTACTGTGGGGTCTTTTTCACCATTTAATTTCACCCAAAATTCTTAAAATAATATATAAAAAGAAGAAAAAAAAGTGTATGAAATAATTTATTTACTTCTGTTTTGTTTTTTTTTTAATTTATTTTTTATAAATAAATTACTTCACATTACTTCTTCAAATTTTTACTATTGCTGAAGCTTTGTTAATCATTTATTATGTACAAAATCCTTAAAGTAGAGATGAGAAGATTTGTGTTATGCATCTTATTTTTTTAATTCTATGATTTTAATTTTTATGAATATTTTTATTTTGCAAGTCCGAAAAACTTATAAATATCATAGCATTTCAAAAACTATGCTTCAGTAATCTTGATATCTGTATGCTTCAAATAAAAAAACACATTTTCTTTTAATTTTTAATAAAAATAAAAATAATTTCAATTTTTATTAACACTTGTTACATTTATATTACAAACATAAGTTACAAAGTTTTTCACATATTTCTCTTAATTCAGTTTTTAATTTTTCTATTAATACTTATGATAGTTTGTTAATTTTTAGGTGGTGATGAAGAGGATAAGATAATATCTCTGTCTGACAGTGCTTTAGATTCTTCTACATCTGAAATAGAAAAGAATATTGACACATCTCCAACAACAGATAAACCTATTATTACGATCCTCAAAGCTCAAGGTAAGGATTATACCAACGAAGAATTTTGTAAAAATATTATAAATTCCAAAACTTATTTTTTGCATTTGAACTTTTATTTTATACTTAGGCTATCTATCATTAGTGTTTGAACCAACTTTCTCTCTAAATAGGATAAATAGTTGATTAGTAATTGATTTTTGGTATTTTCTTTAAGTATAGAAGTTTTTAATATTTAGTTGGTGGGAAACAATGAACTTTTTTGCTAATTGCTAGAAAATTAGTTTTTAAAATTATCTTAATTTTACCCAAGTTAACTTATCTGTACTGATTTAAGTATAAGTTTTATGTCCTCTTAATAATTCTATAGTTTTTTTATTGATATGCAGTTTTTAGTCTTATACAATGTTGCATTTAAAAAATTTTATCATGATGGTAGAAAAATGTTAGTAAAGAAGGTTGCTTTTCAGTAATAGAATTTTCAGAATTTATGTTGCATAGTTTTATGATTTGATTCTCAGTGCAATCGTATTGCAATACTGTGAAATTGTTATCCAAACTGTATGATTATTGTAATTGTGATCATTGCAAAGTAGAAATTTCAATTTATAGTAAAAAATTAAACAATGCAATTTTTTTTCATTTAAAGAAGTTATGCACTTATTTAAAGTTATTTACAAAATTTAATCATAACAAGAGGAGTGCTGATGTTGCTAAAAGAGCAGCTCTCATAGATCTAAAATTACTCTAAATGTTTTGCAGGGGCTTGCTTAATCTGCAATGTATGTTGAAATTTGGATTTAGGGCCTTTCGTTTTTCAAATTATAGTTATTACATTAGGACTTTGATTATCCAAAAAACTATCTATTTCTGAACTGCTAACTAATTCTATTGGTTTTTTAAAGCTTATTTCATAGATTTTTATTCCTTTACAAGCTTTGAAGGTCTTTTTCCTGTTTTATTTTCACTATGGTGTCATTAATTTTACTGTACAGTTAACATAATATGCTTTTTTTTAAACAGAAATAGAAGTCATGATAATTAAACTAAACTATACTAGTAATAATGAAACAGCAAAAATTGCAGATTTCTATAGATTCCAAAGTAACAAAACATTAATTTGTTACTTATATGAAATTATTAAAAGATCATTCTATGTATTCATGCTCTACAAAGAGTCTCATTTTGAAGACCACATGACAGCATTATATGAATTATACAGGGTTCCTACACGGTCAGGAAAACCTGCAAAAGTCAGGATATTCTAAAATTAAGCTAAAAAGTCAGGATTTTTCTTACATATTCATAAAGTCAGGATTTTTCTTACATATTCATAAAGTTAGGAAAATAAAAAAAAAAACTTAAGTTCATTCTAAGACTGACAGGCAAAAGTAAAGTTTCAAAGAAAAATTCTGTAATGTGGTAAAAATCTGGCTCGCAGATTTGATTAACCCTTTATATCCTGACGACACTCATGCATTTGGTTCCACTTAACATTAAATAAAATAATATTTCCAGAATCCAACAGATTTTCTTGATCTTTTTATTTAAATAGTTTTCGTATCTAACTACAAAAACACACTAAAAGTTTAATCTAATAATGATAATTAAAAATATGTTTCACAAGTTTTCTGAAAATATAATTTGGGATATAAAGTGCTATTGCGCAATTCCACTTTAATATGTAAGTGTTTATCCTATTCAGTATATGATACTTATGACTAAGTAGCATATTATGACTAATTGAAACTGCAATGTTAAAAGTTTTGTTGGAGTGGGAAACGGCGGGTCAGGAATTTTATTGTAAAAGGTCAGGAAAAACCTGCAAAAGTCAGGATATTGTTTTCTCAAAATAGTGTGAGAACCCAGTTATAACAGCATCTTATAGAACTTGAAAAAGTGATCAAAAAAACTAAATGCATTTTTAAAGTGTTAAAAAAAGTTTCAAAATTTACTTTGATTAACAGAGGTATTCAGAATTAAAAGATTAGATAATTAAGGTTTTACTGTCATTGATTTTTATGTAAAGCATTTGTGTCTTGTTAACAACAGATTTTATTTTGATGTAAGTTAAACACATTATGTTTTTAATAGTAGAAGATATTGAAAAACCAATATCTGATGATGAAGAAGAAATCATACCACTTGAACAACTTAAGAGTCCTATTATAAAATCAAATATGAGAAAAATTCTGAATGATTTGCCATCTCCTTACAAGCATCTGCCAACAGTGTCTGTTTGGTAAGTGCTGCTGATTTATTCTATTCAATCTGGGGATATAACATTTGTCATAAGCTTCTGTCTGCAATTAACTCTGAAGTTTCTATTGTTTATGATTAAAATAAACTGATCGACTTCCATGAAATGCAGGAAAAATTATCTTCAGGTGCTTATTTCAGAAACCATATTTTACTAATTATAATTTTAATTAAGCAATTTTAAAGTAGTTAAAAACATAATTTATGTGTTGTTGAGTTACGTAAAATGCTGAATTCGTATTTATGCCAAATATTTATTATAATGCTTTGTTTAATTCCGTAACTGCTGAAAGTATTGTTGATTGTTTATGGCATTTTTGTAGAGTTGAACCAAATGGCATAAATAGTTGAGATATTTGATAACTTGCTTTTGAAGGATTTCGGAATATTGGCAACTGTTAATCAACTTGTCTAACTTTACTAATAAATTATACTGTTTTGCATATTTATTGTCTGCACCATCGTAGCATAAATATTCTGCTCAAACAAAAACAAAAATCTGCTTGCTATTTCTAATTTTTTAACAAACTGCAACAATTTTTTTTATATTTATTTCCATTAAAATAGCTAATTCTATCGTATGATTTGGCCATGTATATATATAGTTAGGATTTTTTTTAATAGCAACTCTAAAATTTATGGGTTTACATGACTAATGTTTCTTATAATATGTGGGTGCACAACTTTTTTGAATGAAGGGCTGCTTGCACAGCAGGTAGATTAAAGAAGGGCCGCATGTATATTTAGTTATGTTAGCAGCAAATATGATCATTTTTATCTATAGTGTTCTAAGCACTAAATGTTTTTATCTGTAAACGTAATAACATATATTTGCAGAAAATTAAATACTTTTAATTATTTGAATTTATTTAAAACTAAAAAAACTTATCCTTTTTTTTTCTTTTTTTTTAATTTTTCACAATTATTAAACATATATTTTGTTAATTTATACATAAATATTGGGGGTGGATATAAATTCTAACCAAAAATAAGCTTACAGAATGAAAGAATCAGAAATATACACATTTTAGAGTAATATAAATTTGAATTAACCCACTGACGGTTTTGCACGTAAAAAGTCGCATTTTAACCTGCAGTCTTCTCTGCATAGCAAAACCGGTTTTCCCATGTTAACTGATAGGGGAACTGTGTGTAGGGGAGAAACATTCTCCCAATTTTGCCCATTTCCTTAACCGCCAGTGGGTTAAACATATTAATTTCAGAAAATTTATAATATTTAAAGAAAAAAAAGAAATTTTTTATTATTTTAGATTAAAAGAATTTTTTTTTATTCTGTTCAGAAGCTCCTGCGGGCCACATATCAACAGTCGGTGAGCCGCAGTTTGTGCACCCCTATTATAATAGTAAATAATACACCAAACTATAACTTCCTAATAAAACTCAATAAATTGTTAATTTGCATATCTAATCTAACTGAACTTTTTGTTTCACCCATTTAATGTTTTTGTTATTTTTTTCACAGCTTAAAAGAAGAAGATAGAGTAATCTTAACACAAGGTAAAGGATCAATTACACAATTTATTTATTTTTTTTTTGTCAGTTTTTATAATCTCTAAGCATGCTTTAATAGAAAGAGACTGCACGGTTTCATTTCTACAAAATTATTCCTTAGCAATTGATAAATTAAACAAAGGAAACCTAGCCATGAGGATTTCCAGTTAAAAAAAATAATTGATTTTATGTAAAGAAAAAAAAATTTAAAAAAAAGAAGAAAAATCTTATAAAATGAAGCAACAAAGCATTAAAACCATTAAAAGCCCATAGTAGGCTTATGGACAAGAATTTTGTTTGATGTGGAAAAAAAGTTTATATTTTCTGCAAGCTCAAATAATCCAAAGTTCATTTGTGATGATGTTCATAAAAATTTTAATATATTTTTCTCAATTTCATGGAAAAATTCTAGATGTGTAATAAATGGTAATAAAAAGTTTTTTTTTTTCTTTTTACAGTTAAAATATTGGATGTATAAGCATGTTTAAAAAGTCTGACATTTATAGAGTTTTGGGAACAATAAGAAGGAAAGGATTGAGCTAAAATTAATTATAAAATCTAGTCAATAAACTTATTTTGTACTTGCCGAGAAAGCATTTAAGATAATATAACGGATACAAAATGTAAAAAAATAGTCGTGTGTATCAAATTAAGCATCAAACAGTGTTTTAAAAGTAATTTTAATGCAAATAATTCATTAATTAAGAATATTAGGTGACTAAAAAAGAAATCATAAAATAATTCAAATTGTAAAAAGTTTAACTTAAAAAAATATCGAGAAATCATATTCAGTAGTTAACTAGGTAAATGACATTAGATAAATGAAAGAGTTAAAATAGATATTGAATATGTGCTTTTTTTTTTTTTGAAATTTTGGTTAATGATGTTAAATTTTGAATTTCAGATGAAAGTAAATCTCTCAAGCGTTCATCTTCTGTTAGTAGCAATAATAGCAATAGTGTAACAGAGAATGCAAAAGTCTCTCCTTTGCCTAAAAGAAGAAAAGTTGAAAAACCTGCACCAATTGTTATTGTAATTATTGTTTAATTTTCCTTAATTTGTGGCACAATTAAAATGCTTCTAACATTCAATATACAGTAAAACCTAGATTATCATGATTAAGGCTACACGGTACCCTTTTTAAAAAAAAAATTTTAAGGCCTGTAATATTAAAAGTAATAATAGATTTTCATTTGTATTATATTATTAAACTGATTTTCAAAAACAAAAGGGAAATCGACAAACCACAATTTAAAAAATTTAAATTTTTTTAAAAAATTTAAATTTTTTTAAATTTTTATAACTTTTTAAATTTTCAAAATTTTTCAGTTATTTTTAATAATATAAATATCTTAGATTATTAGGAACAAAAGTTAGTATGGATTTGATGCTCTGATACTTAGTTGAATCTTAATTATTTTTATCGTTACTAAACACGTGGAAAACCCGAAAATTCTAAAAACTCCAACTTCAAATTTTTATTAAAAAAAATGTATACATCTCACACTGAAATCCATACTAACTTTTGGTCTGTATATACATAAAAGTTTCTACAAAAAATTTCAAGGCTTTATCTTTAAAGGGAAAAAAGCCTTAGGGAATCGAAAACAGTGGCATCAACAAAAAAGAAAGTCTGAGAAAATGACATTTAAAGTAAAGAGAACCATAAAACCAAAACTAAAAATGCTTGTACAGTCCTACTTTCTTAATATATTATAAACAAACTTATTGCTGGTCCAAAAACACTAATTTACTTGAATATTAATAGTATTATATTTTTTCACATTTAAAATTTATATGTAACCTGTATCGGCTAAAATACACGTAACATTGGTTTAGACAAACAAAGCAATAGGATTAAAGAAATAGCTAGCATAATTATATAAATATTCAGTCAATCAAGTATAACAAATATTCTGTTACGAATGTATTTATAAATTAAAAAATATTAGTCTTAAAAAAGACTTTTTATAAATAAAAATTTAGTAAAAACACAACTTTAGAACGCATCCATCAAACACCGAACATAAATAAACAACAATGCTTCTAGAAGTGAAAGTGAAATTTGATAACTTTTGGAGAAAGTGAAAATTAATAATCATCGAAATAAAATAAGTCTTTTTTTGAAAAAAAAAGTTTTAAAATTAGATTTAAAAGAAAACGAAACTAACCACGCCCCCTCGCTTGTCAAATTGTGAGTCTGACACAACTCGGAAAAATTCTAATATCTCTAAAACTAATTAGATCTCAGATGCAAAATTTTTCAACTTGCTTCCCAACCACATTAGCCACCCAAAAATGCAAAAATATTTTTTTGCATATTTTTGCGAATTTTAGGGTACTGTGTAGCCTTAAGAATAATCCAGGTTTTGGTATATCCAAGATTTTGATTACCTAAAGGTACTGAACGTACTTTAGGTAATCAAAATCTTAGAATAACCAAGTTTCATTGTTACTATCATGCAACTTCATTGCACAACTGAAAAAGTTAGTTCGATTTATTTAACGTAACATATTCACGTGTTATTAAATTTATGTCAAATTTAACTAGGACCAAATACAACCCTATTTTCATTTTTAAAATATCCTGACATAAATTTAAGTTGATCATATTAATTTATTCTTTTTCCATGTTATATTATAATCAGATCCTAAATTTTATACATGTGATAAACAAATCACATGTGTATGTCCTTCTGTATTGCAACAATCGTGCCTTTAAAAGGCTACATTCCATTCTGAATTGATGCCAAACTGAACACGTAGAAACCACTAATTCAAATGCTTTAATAATTTAATTGCAACTTTAGATTACAAAGGTTTTGTGATATTCAAAGTTTTTCTGTATTCATCTGCCAATAATATATTTTTTCATGTATGTATTCAGGGGTCTTTCCAGGCCGAATTTACTACCGTTTAGCGGTACCTTCACAAATTCAATTTTAGGAAAAACGGTAGCGAAATACTTTTTCTTAAAATTTTATTTTTGTATCCCTTAAGGAACGATAAATCCATATTTTTACCCTATTTTTGTGTTGATTTTTAAATATAATTTTTAATTTTTCACAAATTATGTCTAAATTTTCACAAAATAGGTACCTGTCAGAAAAACCTAGACAGACCCCTGATATTGTTTATGTATACAATGTTAGCTGTTAACTTGTTGCACGTTTTTATACTTCAGTTTTCCTTCAAAAATTTTTAGTTTTAATTTGAATCTTAATTATCTAAAAACACAAACACACTTGATTGTCACCTCTTATAATTTAAAATAAGATCTGATTAAAAACTCAAAGTTAGAGTTATAAACTTGGGTACTGTCCACAAATTAAACATTTTTTTTAAACCTATTTTCCCTGATTTAACATTCAAAATTTTTAAAACTCTTAAATAATTCTATAAAGAATGAGAAATTGGTTTATTAAATTAACCAATTAATTAATTAACCATTAAATTAACCAACTAATTTGGTGAAAGTTCTCTAATAAATCAAATCATGTACGCTATTATTATTATTTTTTTTTTCAATTTTAAAAAATTACTTGGTTTAATTTAACTCAGTTTATTTTAATACATTTAACTAATTAAAAATCTTAAAACTGTCACAAAAGAGGGCAGTTAGTTACTAATTACCTCTTTAAAATAATGTTCCACTACATTCGACATTATTGAAAAACTCAATTAATTAAAAGTAAACTGAATTGTATTTTTATATAAGATTAAATTTTGTAAATGTTTAATAAATAAGAATATTTTGAAAAAGCCTACAGAGTAGTAATTTTTTTATAGTGTTTTATTTAGTTTTCTTTTTAATCAAAAAATATCTTACGAATTACTTAAGTCTCAACTGAAAAATGATTAATTCACAATATATATTTGAGTATGCATATATTCTTGATTTGTTTACACAGGGCAGACAGAATGATGCCTATTGTTGGGCATGCCATCGTGAAAATATTGTTCTTACCTGCATTGCTTGCCCCAGAGCTTACCATCTGAAGTGCGCTGGGGAAATATCTGAGCCATCAGACTGGGTCTGTTTAGAATGTAGGCGAATTCTCACTGCTGAAAATGTGGATACACGTTCATCAGTGTTATCAGAAATATCTGTTGACAAACTAGGTGCCCTGTTGAGATTTTGTTTAAATAAGATGAAACATAGAGCAGTAAGTAGTTTTGTAATTTAAAATTTATTGAAACTATTCATTACTAATTTATGTTCAACAGTGAAACATCAGTAAATTGTTTTAAACTCTTGAATGTGAAAGTTAAATAAATACATAATTACAAATAAAGAATTACTTAACTATTTAAATGTAAAAAGAAAGCGGTAAAAAAAAAAATTATATACACAGCACCATTTATACTTCTTACAGGGAATAGATATAAGTAGATATATAATTGAAAATTAATTATAGTATACCTCACAAAATTGTGTTTCATGTAAGATATCTGCCCCTGAAAATTATCTCCGCAGGTGAGGTTTCACTGTATAATCTTTTGTGAAATTTTTATAAATTAAAGGTTCACCTAAACTAATTTTGCTGAATGACTGAATAAATATATACTTAATATTTTTCTAAAATTATTAAGTATGGTTAATCTTTAATAGCTTCTCACATATATTTCTAAATTTTTGCGATATTCTCTTATATGTATTGCAATATTATCTTATTTATCATACAAATTCCAGTCTTTGTCACTGTTGAACAATAGTGACCCATACCCTGCAATGTCCGCTAAACCATTGTCGAGGTGACAATGATGGTATCCCTATAATTCATCTGAAAGGTCAAATGCTGTATGGTTGTGCATCTATCAACCTGAATACATCTCTTTTATCATCGTTCTCTTTCATCTATGACCTGTGGTGCACCACATTTGGCTTGTTGCTGATTTTGGATAAAGCCATTTCGCCATTCATGGTATACTTTTGCAAGGCAGCAGGTGAACAATTTACATAATCAGCTGTTTTAGAAATGCATCAGATAAATCACTTGGTTTCCTAATAATTGTGATGCTTTTTTGGTTCAGTCTGTCTTCCTTTACGCTCTACTGCAATGTGCTACTATCTGCCGCCTTCTGTGATCGGGTATTTCCCGTTAATGGAGAAGGTTGGTGGTGGCTGGCTGTGTTAACGCTTCTAATTTAAACAAACATATAGTCTGTTTTTTGCTGTTTGTATAAATTATTTTTTTTTATAGTGAATGTTTTTAAATAAATTTCGGACTGGTTAGCAACATGGAAGCCACATCAAAGAAGCATAAACAAATTTGCTTTCGTTTGTTCATATTCCTGTCTTCATGTAATTCTCAATCCTGTTATTATTATTAAGATTGAGAAGGATTTGATTGTTAAGTTTGAGTTTCTATCATTCAAATATAATTTAATTTATGAATCATACAAAAAATATTGAGTAGCTACTATAGCTTTATATTAGCTATAGCTTTGCTGGTTAGCTATATTATAGCTTTATATTATACTATATATTAGCTTTTAAAAGTTCATTTTTGTTCTAGCAGAATTAAACTAATGCAACATAGGATGTTTTAATTTAATTGCATCGTTTTTAGTTCTGGCAACTTAAAATGTCTGATTAAATATAGCTATTATTATTCTTCTCATTGGCACGACAGCCCAAGATGGGCCTTGGCCTTCTCAACAAGCCTATGCCAAGACATTCTTCCCTTAGCCAAGGTTCTCCAGTTTATTATCTTTAAAATTTGTAGGTCCTTTTCAAGGTAGTCTAAAAATCTTAGGTTTGGTCGTCCTCTTTTTCTTGTACCTGTTGGCCTGGCACAGAAAACTTTTTTGGTTGTCCTGCTATCCCCCATTCTTATAATGTGACCTGCCCATTTAATCCTTTGAATTTTGATAAATTTAATGACATCAGGTTCTTTATATGCTTTGTTAAGTTCCGTGTTTGATCTTCTAAACCAGGTACCGTTTTTACTTATTGAACCAAAAATGCTTCACAGTATTTTTCTTTCAAATCTAGCTATCATATTTTCATCTCCACGGGTCATTGTCCAGCTCTCACATGCGTATATAAGCACTGATCGTATAAGACATTTATAGAGTAACAACTCTAATTTATATTTATAGAATAATACAGCTTTTATGTTTCCACAGTTATATGGAGCTTTGCTAATGTCATGTATAATTGTAACGTTTATCTACACTCCTATTTGTTTAAATCCTTTCTTATGTGTTCAGTGAAACAAATTTGTTATTATTATTTTATTTTTTTCTTAGATGCCGCCTTTCCAACAGCCTGTTTCTCTTGAGCATTATCCGATGTATCTGCATTATGTTATTCATCCAATGGATTTTAGTTTGCTTGAAAAGGTTTGTTATAATGGGCTTAAGATTGTTTTTATACATTTTATTTTTTAATTTACATTCAACAGTCATTTAATACAATTTAGATTTTCAGATTTCTTCCAAAGCAGCTGTCTACTAAAAAATAAAATCCAAAATTTCCACACAAAAAAAAAATTTAACTTTATTTTTAATTACAATCTCTGAATAGTTGCAAAACAGGGAATTCTATCGATCTGAAACAAATCAAATATGCATCAAGGAATTTAATTATAATTACTTTTGTAATTTACATATTCTGCTATATGTCTATAGCTGAAGAAAAAAAACACAAATGTGCTATATTGTAAATAACAGTTAAAATGTTTATGCAAAAAACAAATATTTATTTGACAGAATCAAATAAAGAATTTTTATTGAATAACATTATTACAAAATATTTTTAAAATAAGATCAATCAACTTGTAACATTTTTGATATAACAAACTTATATTTGTTAAAGTGTACACCATCAAAATATTGGGGGAAGTTTTTCCATTAACAGTGAAATACCAAACTAAAACTCGTAAATAATCTAGAGAATTAAGAATTTAATGCATGATATTTTTATACAGTACAAGGAGACTGAATAGTGCAGTTAGTTTGTATATATTTCTTTTAAAACTTGTAATTCATTTTTAATATTGTATTAAAAATATTCAAACTCTAATATAATGGATAGGTGGTCAGGGCTGATAGTGCTCCCGAAAAAATCTGGATTTCCGGACTTTTCGCTAACAGTCATCTGGAAGTTTCCGGAGATCGAAGGTCCAGGCGTTTCAAAAAATCATTGATTACAGAAGTTTCCGGAAATCAAATTTTCAAAGGTGGAACTTAAAAACACAGTTTATTTTATTTGTTTGTAAGGGAGAGCCAGAGATATACTTTATGAGCTTATAGTCTTGATTAATATTCATTTTTTATCAGTAAATAGTTATTATAATCATAAACTCAAGAAAGAAAGACATATTTGTAAATTTTAATTACTTCTCCAGGTCATCATAGGTAAGTGCAAATGGTATAGCTATGTGTAAAATTTTAAAAATATTTTAAGTAAACTAAGAAATATTGAGAAAAAGGAGGAAAAAAAACCTTGTTTAAATTTTTTTCTAATTTTTCAGTTTAAACTTCTTTTTTTTTTATTCAAGAAATTTTCTGGAATTTTGACTTGGGCTCACAATCACCCTTGTATGGTGCAATGCAAATATTCCTGTTCTCAATAAATGTAACAAAACTTTTATTTCAATGCTAGTATGTAACTCATTATTTTTCAATTTCATGAAAACTGTTTATGAAAATCTATTTTTAACCTTTCTTTCTTCTACCGTATCAAACATTAACATATGCGTTATTAGGTTTACTTCAATTTCCTTTAATGGGAAAACTAACTAATTGGCCTTCCTTAAATCTTCAGCAAAATTAAAAGTGGTATTTCACTAACACTTTATATTATAAGAGAGATCCATTTATAGGCGCATTATGGAAAAGCACACTGCTGAAAGATTAAAAAAAGCCAATACAACCAACCTCACAATATTTTATGTTAATATGTAAATAATGTTGCTAAAGATTTAAGGCCAAATATTTTGTTGGAAGTTAAAGAAAATCTAACAATGTTTCACTAATGTTTAATGTGGTAGAAGAAAGAAAGGTTATAAATAGATTTTGATAATCAGTTGTTGTGACATTGAATAATAATTAGTTATACAATTGCATTAAAATAAAAAGTTATTACATTTATTGAGAATAGAAATATTTGTTTTTCATAAAATTGAGTTTATTTATTTAAAGAGAGTCTAGGAATGATTAAATATATGAAATAAAATAAATTTAAGAGCTAGGCAATATGTTATGCTTTATAGTTATATATCATACATGATTAATTAGGATGTTTTTGGCCCTTCATTTTTGCAAAACGTATCTATGCGTAAATATTATTAAAATTTGAATATGATGATCATTTTATCATTTCAATTTATAAAACATTTTGCATTTAAGCTAATAATTTTTCTTCTGCATTATTTTAGAATATCAAACAAAAGCTGTATGGATGCACAGAAGCATTTTTGGCAGATGTTAAATGGATATTACACAACTCTTGCGTTTTCAATGGAAGTAAGTAATATATTCAGGAATGAGATTTTTCCGCTTTTCAGTGGATTTCCGCTTTTTTCGCTTTTCTCTCTGGAATTTCAGCCTTTTTATCAAAAACTCAGAATCTCTAAAATTTTCGTTTTTTTTTTTTTAAAAATTCTTTTAATAAATATTCCGTTTTTTTATGAAAATTTAGCCGTTGGAATAAAATAATTATTTCTGATTTTCAAAGATAAACAGAAAATTCACATTACGTAGCTGCCAACCCTTTTTGCATTTTGACTTATTTTAGCAATTTTCTCCGCTTTTACGCGTGGACAATAAGATTTTTTGCATTTTTACCAGTCCACTAGATAGCTCGTATTTTAATATCAAACATCGATTTTCGTATTAACCTGATTTAAAAGTTGAGCGTTATGATTCTTATTCACGCGATTTCAAAAACATACATTGCAATTCTTATTTATGAGATTTAAAAATCCAATATCGAGATCTGTATTTACTCGTTTTTAAAATCTATGTAGCTATTTATATTCACGCGATTTAGAAATGATGCATCGTGATTTGTATTCGCGCTATCTGAAAATTACGCATCATGATTTGTATTTTTACATTTTTGAAATCCAATATCGAGTTTCATATTCATTTGATTTCAAAATTCAATATCGTGATTCAGATTCACGCGATTTTAAAATCCATGATCGCTATTTGTATTCCCGTAATTTTCAAAATCCTTTATTGCGATTCGTGTAAGAAGTAAGTTTTTTTTCTTGAATTAGTTACTATAAAGGTGACAGTTTTTCTATCGACGATTGTTGGTATACATAGACATTACAACATCAGCGAAACTGGATGAGAATATGTGTATGTTTAAAATTCTGCTTTTTTACCTTTTGACCAATCTCATCCCTGTATATTTCAGAAATTTGTTTTATATTTTACTATTTAGTTAGTCAATTTAAATTTATTTACTTTGTTTAAGAATTGTATTTTTTAATTGCTTTTGAGTGTCCTAAGCAATTTTTCTCATTTCTGTTGGTAATGCAATTGTATTTATTGTATAGTTAAATTGTTGTTTAATGGAATGGTAAATAAAAAAAGAATAAGCTTATTCTTGGAAAGCTATTCAAAGATAAATTGCATTTTAAAGAGCTATTGTACTTAAACTGGTTTAAAAAATAAAAAAAAAAACTCTTTGCTTCAAACTCATAAAAATTTAGTATTATGAATTGGGTACTTGCACTTCAAGAAGAGGAAGATCACAGATACCCACGCATGTGAACCATGATGTCAGCTGAGTGTTTATAAGCAAAATAGCAAGTTAAAGTTGAGCTAAGTTTCTCCACATAAATTAGAATGTTAATTAATGTGAAATTCATTAAATACAGTGCTGAATTAAACATCAAATTTGTTGAAATATAATTCTTTCTCATCCGCATCTTTTACTTAACTTAGATTTATTATATATATTTTTTTTTATTATTATTGTATTGTCACTGTGATATATTTTTGTTTTACGGTATTCTCTTTCTTATGCTATGGTATTTCTCTACTATAGTTTTACAAAAATTTTAAGATCTCACTCACATATATTATCCCATGTGATTATTTGTGGTGATAGTTTATTCATTTTATTTTTAGACCAACACCCTTTAAGCGGCAATGCAAAAGCCTTGGTAAAAGCGTGTGAAACAGATATGCAAGAGATTGAAGTGTGTCCAGATTGTTTTATGCACAGTGTTATCCGCAACAAATACTGGTTTGCTGATGTTTGTGTAAGCAGACTTTATCTTCTTATATTTTTAATATTTCCAAGTTCTTATAAGTTAAACTTATTTAATAACAAATACATTTTGCATTGATGCCTAGGATAAAAACCATAATAAATAGTTGTTTGCTGATGCAAACTTCATCTTCTTATATTTTTAATGTTTCCACGTTCTTTAAACTTATATACCATGTTCGTTAAACTTATATACCACGTTCGTTAAACTTATATAATAACAAATAAATCTTGCATTAATGCCTAAGAAAAAATATTTTTCAGCCTAGCAATTTTTTTTTATGTGTAAAAGTATTATGTTAAGTATAATTTTGTATTAATGCCCAAGATAAAAACCATAATAAATAGTTGTTTGCTGACATTTGTCTTAGCAAACTTCATCTTATATTTTTAATATTTCTAAGTTCTTATTAGTTAAACTTACATAATAACAAATAAATTTTGCATTAATGCCTAAGAAAAAATATTTTTCACCCTAGCAGGGTTTTTTTCTGTGTGTAAAGTCGATCTTTTATGTGTAAAAGAATTATGTATTTTATTAATCCTACCTAGATATTTTGTTCTGTCAACAATTTTATTAATTATTGTTATTATTTTATAATTTCAGAGAAAGCCTCATCCTCTTGTTTGGGCAAAACTGAAAGGTTTCCCTTATTGGCCTGCAAAGGTAATTTCCACCCATCTCTATCTCTTTGTAATGTTCATAATTTATTTGCAGTGTTAATATCTATGTTGTGAACTATTAAAGGTCAGTGTGGCTTTATTACAATTTCAAATGCAGAATTTATTTCAAACACCTATAAGGAGTGTGAACTAACAATTAAAAAGCCATGTAAAAGAAAGTTTTAATTTAATTTTTTTTAAAAATTGAGATTTCTCAGAAATTTCTTATTTAATGATATAATATTTTGCTTAGTCATTTAATTTCAAATATCTGTTAAGATAAAAGACAGAAATAACTGTCACTGAGTGACTTTTATTAGAAAGAGTCAAGTGCATTTGGCAACATACAGTTGATTAATAAAACAAGATAACTCAAATAATCTCAAGAAACTGAAGCACTACGATATTACTTGTTTAAAAAAAACTTGCCTTCAAAATATGCAGATGGAAATCTACTTTAATTTCCATCTGCATATTTTTGAAACCTATGAAGTTTTTTTATCAAGTAACACTAGATTCATTTGGCTTAAAATTAAGCCGCAAAGCAGGCTAACAGTTAGAATGAATGCTGTAAAATTATAGATTAGAAAAATGTAAAGTGGGGATTGAAATTATGTAGTTACCCACGTTTAAAATGTGTTTGTACAGTAGTGATTAACATGATAAAAATAAATACCTAAAACAGTTTAAAAAAATTTAATGTTGAAATGTCTTATAGATTTAAAAAATTCTCCCGCAGCTATAGGTTATTTTTCGTTAAAACTAGTAAAAATGCATTTATTCACTCTTAGTCTATCATTAGTTCTTAATTATTTATTTGAAAATCACCAATATTTAAACGGAAAACTTCTTTAAAAATATAAATATTGAATTCTCATAATCTGATGTCAATATCTTGTGCCAGTATCATAAATACTGATTAAATGTCTATTAAGCAACTGCTGTCTTCATGAAGTATGCGGATTATTTTTTTATTTTTTTTTATTAAGGTTACAGAGAATCTGGTGCCATGGGAATGTTAAACTGAGATATCAGACTCACAAAGATTTGTACCAATCGAATTCGAAAAATTAATTGCATTTGAGCCTTGCTTGTTTTGTATCTCGCAATACTTTTTTAAAAAAATAGTGTGCTATACTTCGTTTCACCTTAAGTTGGAACTGCAGGGAAAGCTAGGAAATGTAATACTGAGCCTTTGAAAAGTAGTTCTTCACTATTTTGGAATTAATTGCAGTTTAAATGCATGTACAAACATAAATAAATGTTGTATAATAAGAAAAGTTTTTATCTTGAAACATGAATTAGAAGTTTTTCATGTTTAAATGTATTTAACTTATAAATACCTTCTCAGTAAAGCGTATGTACAAAGAAGAAGGAGGTGTTTAGTTTGGCACTGAATTAGTTTTCAAGTTCAAAGAATTGGCGCGTTGGCTATGTTTTAACACTGGTCAGCCAGCTCTTTCCATTCTCGCTTAATTGTCTTTTTTCTTCGCATAATTGTTCTTTTGTTTTGTTTTTTATTAGTTATTACCTATTTTTTTGCATTAATTGTTAATTTCCTGCCTATGTTGACTTTTCCTTCCCCCACAAAACACCAATGTGGGATAAATTAATGTACATTAATCTAACAAAATAAGTTCCATATGAAAATAAATATCTGAAACAAAGTATTTATGCTCATCTATGCATTTCTTTTTTTTACTTAGATTTACAAAAAAGAATATTTTTAAATATAATTTTTTTTTTTGTTTAAAATTAGTTTCGCTTAGTTAAAAAATCATAATAAGAAAATCTGTTTTTTTAAAAATCATAATAAGAAAATCTGCTTTTTAGAAACCATAATAGGAAATCAGCTTACAATTAGTATCTTAAAATAATAATTATTAGAAATGCTCTAAAGAAATCTTGTTCTGTTCTGTATTCTGTTCAAAATTTTAGTAAGATTCTTGGTTTTGGATGGGGGAAAAAAATCGGCATTTCGTTTTTTTTTTTAAACTCCAAAACAGGCCACTTTCTCTCCTTTTTTTGCGACCTCATTCCCCAACCGACTTAAAGAATAACCCAGTTTCCATGACAATGGCTGTAATCCGGTCTTCCTGCCCTTCTCTCCAGTGCCTACTTAGGGTGTAATGAAGTATAGACTACAAACTATGCAAAAAGTAGTAACTGCTCTACAAGCTACGCCAAAAGTAGCAACTAAAGTAGTTTTATTACCCATAGTGTGCTACCTCCAACCACTGGTTTTGTACTATTTACTTTGAGTTTTCCTTCAACTAAACTTATGTTTTTAAAATATTATTTCTTAACACATGAAGCATTGAAAGCCAGTTGCTACATTATTTTAATAATAATGCAATAAAGTATAGCGCCTGGTATTACTTACCCTATCGTTTCAATGTTATTTTCAAAATGTTCAAAATCTTGTTAACAAATCATAGCATTTTCATTTCAGGTTGTTCGTATTCTAGATGGCAATGTTGATGCTCGTTTCTTTGGTGCTCATGATAGGTAAGCAATTACAAATAAGTTCTAGAATTGTTGTGTTTAAAAAATGGTGCTGAAAAACAGCTACATAGAATTATATTGACTCTTTATTGCTTATTTGGTGCTATTTATATTTGCTGTTTAATATTGTTTAAAATTCTACCAAGTCTGAAATTTAGATAATATGACACCAAGTGCGTTTTTAAAAAAAATTTCTACTTATATTATTATCTGTGTTCAGAATTTTTTTGCTATTTTGTTTCTATACGTGAAATGCTGTTTAATTGACATTTTTATAACACACTATTAACTATAGTCTAATTTTAATGTAAATGCAGACCTGCCAACTCTCAGGCTCTTGTGTCCACTCTTAGGATCTCAGGACAGCAAAGTATTTTCTCAGGCTTTTTTCTGAACTATATGAATTTTATGTCCCAGGTGCACTTTGAGCGCTGCCCAGAAACTCTTTCTCTCAAATAAGTTATACTGGTGTTCGAGTGTGTTTAGTTCATCGTTGATTCCTTTTTAAAACTTTTTTTGAATTAAAATGTTTACTAAACTTTATAAGGCATTCATGTTAAAATGTCTATTTCATGTTAAAATAGCTAGCTTTAGAATGTTTTCATTCTTTGATGGGATTGATAAATAATAATGTAAAGTTAAAGGCAAAAAAAGTAATGCCTACAGTTGTTGGTAAAGTTATTGCTGGTGATATTAACCATTCCTTACAATGGCGTGATCAGTGATAAAATATTAAGCCATATAACGAAAATTTAAAACTTAATTCTGTACTACTTTCTTGTCAAAGCAAACTTCGAAGAATTTGTTGACTGAGAAATAAATTAAAAAAACTTAATTATATAAAGTTTTTAAAAATTGCTGTATCATCATCTCAGTCTGAGTCATAAATTTTTAGGAGTAAAAAATTTGTCAAATTTATTTTAAAGAATGTGTAAATTCTTATCTATTAATTTTTGCCTATTTCGCTATATCAGAGTCACCAATAGTATCAAGCTTTTTTATTTTCTGAAGTTGGCAGATCTGTAAATGATAGAAATAGTGTGGGACATGCAATCAAGTGTTTTCCAAAATATAAAGTGAACTTGTTTTATACTTTTTTTATTTACTTGATGCAAAAGTTATTTGAAATAACCTAATATCTTTAAAAAATATTTTTAGAGCTTGGGTTCCTATAACTCAGTGCTACCACCTTTCAAAGGAAACACCCACTACAAGTAAACCTAAGAAGAAAGTAAATTATGATGCTGCTTTAGATGAGTTAAATGTGCATGTCCAATTACTTATCCAAAAATTTGGTAAATTTGACTATGCTTCATCCCGCACAGTGTTTGATCCTATGAATAAGAAACTAATGTACCATGGTGTTGATATTGATAAGGTGAGAAACATATTGTTAAATCATTTTGCTATATTATCAAAATATAATATATGTTTTAATGAGTATATTAGTTCTTGTTCTATTAATATAATCTCATTTATTATATTTTATGATTTTGACTCTTTATTTTCAGTTTAAGTTCAAAGAATTACTCTTAATTGTCAACTATAATTACAATGAAATTTGGTTGTGGGTTATGTTTCTTAAAATTATATTTGTATAATCTATAAATGACTCTTAATATGTGATAAGAGTCCGCAGTGACAGTTCGTTAGATATCAGTGTTGTGTGTCAGCACATGTAAACCTTCCTTAAAACATCATGTGTCACTCTGTACATAACTATGATCCATTTATAGCTTACCTCAATATAAATTATGAAGATTGAGGTTGAACATAATAATCTTTACTAATTATTTATTGCTTTTAACTAGGAGTTAACATTTTATCTTTACTAAGTATTACTCATTTGTGATATACTATTCGTTTAATATTTACCAATTGAAATATATTGTTAAAACTGTAAAATAACGAAAAAATTGAAAATTTCTTATTTGTACCCAATGTTGATAAATTCAGCAGTAATAAAGGTTGTTGCATGGCATCAATTATCAACGTCTCACAAGTAATTAAAATTCAATGTAATATCTCATCAATAATCGAAAGCAAAAACTATTTCAGATAAATAATATAAAAATTTACTCAACAATTTCAACAAATTTTATGTGGTTAGATTAGTTATATAACTAATGCATTTATTTAGTTCTTTAGTTGCAATTTAAAATAGGGATATTGATATGAAATGTGTGCTGCTTAGTTCGGTCACCTGGCACACATCCCAATGGTTAACCAGCTCTATCCATACGTTCAATAACATGTGTCTATCAATATCCATCATAGCAACAGTGAGGCCTTTTTGCAATGTTGTTGGCAAAAAAAAAGTGAACAACCTGAATACAGTTTGATCTAATGGTGTGCTAAGAATTAATCTTAATAGTTCAATGGCCTAACCTTAAATATACAAAATAATTACAGCAGACGATATTATAACTCTGAAAATCAAGCACATAATGTACTTACTTGGAATAAACTTACCTTTTTCTAACCAATTCGGATTCTTGACCTCCAAAATATGGGAAGAAACAACAATTTGGAAAAAAATAATCTCATTGATTTGGTCAAGAGAGCTGTCAATAGTTTGAATCCTTTAATGTTAATTTTACTTTTTGCATATTTTTCTACATTTTGAGAACTTTATTAATGAACATTTTGCACACAATTATGAAATCCGTTTTTCAAAGATAATTCCGAGCTAAAAAATTATTAATTATTTTTTTGTTTTATTTAATAATAATCTAAACATTTTGAATCACGTATACAAGTTCTTACATCATTTTGAAATAGTAATTTTAAATAGCAAAATACAAAATTTTAAATCTATCTAATAGTTCTTGCAAAATCAAACTTTAAACATACAGCTTTTTTAAAATTTTAGAACTCAGAAACTGTTTGACTGATTTCTTTCAAATACTTTACCAATGCTGTATGCCACACTGCTGTAACAAATTTTGATAGAAACATGCTATTGAACATATAGACAGAATTGGATTATCATTGAGAAGTGTGTCTGGTGACTAAAAGTGCTCACATTATATATCCGTAGTATGTACCAAACTTGATAAGTGTTTGTATCTATCCATCCATAACCTATCTTTGTTATATACTTTTAAATAAACAGAATTTTAAAACTGGATTAATCGTTTACGTTAACCCGTACTTCAGATATAGATTGTTTGAAGAAAGAAAAAAATTTTGTTTGGTCTGTTGAACGAACAGCAATTTTATGTTGTAATTTTAAACTGATTTAAATTTTCTCTCACTTGAACTATAATTTGATATTTTACTTGCAGGTAGATAAGGAAGAAATACCTTTCGATGCTTCAGCTGCCAATAGCAAAGCATTTTGTCCTTCTCCTACAGGTAGTAAATTGTTTATCTTTCGAATAATCATACCTGAAAACTTTTATAACTATTTAGAATACGATTCTGAGTCAAGCAGTTTTTTTACACAATTTTTTAATAAATATTAAATCTTTTCCTTTTATAGGATTGTCAAAAACCATTACCTTTTTATTATCTTTAATTATTGTAATATTTTCCCTGTGCGCCTTAGTGAAAAAAGTAACATTTCAATGTTGTTGTTTTTTAAATAGTAAATTCATATAAAATTTTATTAATATTAGATTTATACTTATATAGAATTAAGTTGTAAAAAAAATCTTAAAATTGCCCTGATTTGAATTTTATTAATATTATAATTCTTGAACTTTTGATAACTGATAGCTAGTTTAGAAAATTGGCAGTTCTGAGTTTATAATCATACGAGAAAACAAAAACTGTACTTAGTGTTTGCATGTAAATTGCCTTAAGAATTTTTAATCAATATCTTTCACAAATTAAATAGTATAACAAAATATTTCTTTAAATGCTTCAAACAAAATTTTTACTTAACACACTTTTTAAAAGCAATATCATAATTAATAATTGTTTGCTAATACTAGGATTAATTTTTCAGTATGTATTACAAAGTAATAATGAGAATAAAAACGGTTACAAAATGTTAGTTTAAAAAATCACTTTTCCCTAACTTTACCTGCATTTACAGTATTTATTATAGTTAATTATACAAAATTTTGCAAAAGAAATTGAGTCAGCTTAAAAGTTTATGATCAGTATTTCTCTTAGTTGTACACGTGTACTTCACATTTGATATTGACAAAGTCAGTAGTAGAAAACTTTAAAAAAAGGGAGGGAAGCAGCTTAAAGTCTTAAAAAATATAGATTCTAATATTTATAGTAGCTTTTCTGAACTATTTTATTAATTGAAATGCATTTAATTTACTTATATCATTTTTCAGGTGAAAGAAGAATGAGCTTAGATTCAAAGATGGATGTTGATCATTGTGAAGAAGCTTCTTCAAATTCAATGTTTTCAACAGCTGAAACGCGAATCGCCCGAATGCTATCTTGTGAAGATGAAAAAGAAATTTTAGATTCTTCTAAAGACAAGACTGAAAATAAAACTCAAGAAACTACTAGTGGAAAATCTAAAGATGATAAAGAAAAGGATCTTTTTCTGGATGATCCACCTAAGTCTAAGCCTACGTCAAACGTACCCCGTGATAAGCTTGAAATGGCACTGGAGCGTATTAAAGGATATGTTTCATTAGATACAGAGGAAGAGAAAGAAAGCAGCAATAAAGAAGATGAGCCAGATAAGTCTGAATCTGTTAAAGAAACTAATGTATCTTCTGAAGGAACTACAAGTATTTTAGCCAATTTAATGAAAGCTAAAAGTTTACCAAAAATTGATTTACCAGATATTCCTGCAATAGAGGAAGAAACTACTACAAAAGAGAAAGAAAGTTTTTTGGATATGTCAAAAAAGAATGATACATTTAAGTTGCATCTTCTTGAAACAATCAAAAAAGCAAGATCTCGAGCTGCTGCGGATGATGAAGAGGATGAATCTGATATGGAAACAGATGAAGAGGATTCTGATAGTGATTCAGTCATAGATGAAGAAGGTAAAGAAGTTATAGAGGAAAACGAGTCTGATGGGCATGAAGATAAAGAAGTAATTGATACAGTCACTGATGAGGAAGGAGATGATACCGAATCAGAAAGTGAAAATGAATCAAGTTCAGAATCTTCTGAAACTGACATTGAAGAAATTGAAGAGGAATCCGATAAAGTGTCTAAAAATGTTGAAAAACAAGATGAGGATGCTGAAATTCGTGAATCAAATGAAAGAGACAGTGAAATAGTTGAAAGTAGCGAAAAATCTGACATTCCGGTGCATTCTATTACTCCTAAAAAATTATCTCCAGACACTAATAAAAATATTGAAACAAAGTCAACAGAAAAATCTCCTACAGGAAAACAATTGAATGGATCTTTAGAAATTCAAGACAGTGGTGTTGCAAGTAATATAACACTGGGTTTACAGCAGGTATCTGATGCTGATACGCAGAAAGGAATAGAAAGCTCTGAGGAGAATTTAGATGAAAACAAGAATGATGATGTGGAAGATGATGAAGTAATTATTTGCCCTCCTGTTAAACCACCTACACCTCCTCTAATTTGTCTTGATGATGGTACTGAAACAGAATCAGAAAATGAAGATGGCAACAAAGTTACTGATGCTGACAAGATGTCAGGAAAAAATGAAAACTTAAGTATACTTCAAACAACTAAATTAGTAGAAAAACCTTCTGTAGTTCGTTTTTTGAAATTTAATGCAAATGAAGTTTCCCTTTCTAGAGAAAAGATATTTCCTCGATTAAGAGACCTTGCGACACATCGCCGTAACAATAAAAGATCACGAATATCAACATCTAGCTCTGGTGAAGAAAGTAGTGATGATGGTCTTGTTGTCGATCGTAACACAGGTGTTCCTCTTAGAGGTGCTCGTAGAACATTTAATAATTTTAAGAATAGATCTATTTCTGCTTCTAAGTCAAATAGTGTTCCAGAAAGTCAAGAGATGCATGAATCTCCTGCTGATGATCTTGAGTCTAGATTAGATCATAGAAAAAACTCTGTAGATAATTCTTTAGGTTTGTATTATTTTTAGCTATTTCATAAAATTTTATGTATGCATTAGTGTTAACATTCTTCAGTAATATTCTTTTTGTATTTATGAATATCTTTCAGTAACATTCATTGTTTAATTTTGGAAATATAAAGTATTTTTCAATGTTATTCTAATTCATTTTTATGATAATTATTTTGTGGCTTGAAAAATAATGATATGAACATTTAAAATAATTAAATACTGATATTCTACTCCTTGAGTATAAATTAAAAATAAATTCTTCTGCTGTTCCAACAGATATAAATAAAAATTGCGAGATTTTTTAAAAAAGTATTTTTGCTAGAAATTTTATGTAAATACATTATATGTAACATGTTTTAGGTTTATACAATCATCAGGTTATAAATAGCAATAAGATATTTAAAATAAAATTTTAACTTCTCTCCTAATTATTTATGCCTTAAAAGAAGCTTTGAATGTTTCATTTATTTTTATTTGATTAAATTATGCTAACAAATAGAATTAGACTCATTTTTTAGGCCTCTTCACACTGTAGGGTGCGTAGCGCTTTTAAAAAGTGCTTAAAGGTGTTTATTTTCGTTTTTTAAAAGCCCTTAAAGGTGCTCTTTTCATTGGGCGTTTTTAAAAAGTACTTAATTTTCCCTCTTTTAAAATGAGATTTTTCCTTTGCTGTGTTGATTTTCACTTTGAATTATGCAAAAAGACACAGTTCATTCTATTCTATTCAACGTTTTCATGTTTAATTCAACCCCAGTCTATTTCGGCGTATAGTCAGTCCGTATTGTATGAAAATGCCATTCGTTTTACATGCTTCAAAATTTTATGATTTTTGATAATTGTTAAAAACAATGCCAAAAGGTTTTTTTTTTTTTTTACATAACGGTTAAAACTGTCGATTGTCAAAAACTTTACAATCCTGCCTCATTATGATATTTTTTAAGGTGCTTACAAATATTTTTTGAGTGCTTGAAAAGTGCTTAAAAGGTGCTTATTTTTTGTTGAATAATTTGGCTACGCACCCTGCACTGTCATATTGATATATTCCTCTTTGGCAATATTAATTCAATATCAGAAGTTAGAATTTAAGTTTAATTTTTTCTTTTATGATTTTTTAATGTGTTCTTTTTTCTCTTTTCTTTCAATATTAATAATTTATAGATCTTCAATTATCATATAATAAGTGTCTGTTAGTCATTATAATTTTCATTTGTGTACTTAGTAGTTAGTGGGCTTCAAGGTTTTCTTTTACAAAATTGGTGATCCACTCAACTAAAATGGTTAGGAACCTCTGTTCTAAGTAATTTTGCTGAAGTTTTCTGTTAGCTATGCCAACTGAAACTTTGTTTGTTAATGAACCTAGAATTAGTGTTGAATTAATTCTAGGTTCATTGTCATCATCAATTTCGTGTTAACTATTTCAAAAATTTAATAATTAATGAAACTATAGTTTTAAAAACTAATTGTAATATGCATTAAAAAATTATCTTAAATTAATTATTTCAACTATTTTTATATTTATTTAAAATATTTTCAGCTGAAACTTCGTCTGTTAATGAACCTCGAATTAGTGTTGAACAAAGTATGATATCTGATGGATTCAATCAAGAAAATGTAAGTTTCACTTTTGTACTATTTACTTTTCCTACAAGGAGTTCTACAGTGCTAGTTCTCAAAAAAAGTAAAATTGACATTTTTAATTGTTCCCCATTGAAGTTAAGTTGTATGTAATCATTAAACCATCATATATATTTATTTATGCCAAAGAGTAGAAGGATTTCATTAAAAATCACGCAACTATTTAAAACAATGATTTATTGCACACAACTATTTTATTAAGTTTATAAATTCTTTTAAATGTATATATATTTTATCTATAAAAGGCAAAGCTCTAACTCAATCATCACTACATCTCCCACATCCCATTAACTTAGAAATCTGAATTTTAGGCCGTAGGTTCTTTATGAGATAATAGAAAAATTTAAAGTTTCATTTCGATATTTTGTAATCATTAGGATAATTAGCCTAATTTTCAGTAATGCCATATAATATTAGCCTAGTTGACAGTAAAGCTTTTACCAAGATAAAAGTCTCAAATTCAGACCGTGTCTGAAACTAAAGACTGTGATTTAGATCGTATCAGATATAAAGGAAAACTAAAAAAGTTTCATTTCAAGTATACACATCTTTATTTTGTAATTATCCGAGTAAATGGTCCAAAATTGACATTAATACTAAGTAACACATTTATCAAGTAGGAAGTCTCAAATTTGAACCATGTGTTCTTTATGACTTGAATAGAAAAATTAATCAAGTTTTATCTGATATTTGTAATTATTGAGTAATTAGCCTCATTGACAGTTATTCTAAAAAATACATTTTTACCAAGATAGAAGTCTCAAATTTGGACCATATGTTCTTTATAGCAGTGTTTCTCAAACCAATTTACTCAAAGAAACAGTCAAATATTTCAGTGTTTTATCACAGACCAGTGAGATTTGTAATTTGGATTATTGACTTGTAATTTTTACAGCTACAAAATTGTAGCACTTAAAAAATTTTTTGACCAGTTAGTTTCTGTTATTCAAATACTCTCTACAATGAAAGATATTTTGAGCCAAAACCTATTTAAATACAAATAAAATTGATGTCAATTCTAATATAATTATGAATTCTATTATTCAAATAAACAAAATAGCAAAACCAAATTATGTGTAAAATACAAGTAAATCTGACACAAATAAAAAGGTAATACAGTGAAACCACCAGAAAAAAGCAAATCCGTGTAGCAACCACCCCTATTTACAACCACTTTTGGGAGGCAAGGAATTTTTTCCATAAACAAACGTATAGGAGAGACCATTAAAACCTCTCCGAGCGACTGAGCAAACATCTGCACCAAATACAGGAAAGATTAAATAAGGAAGCAGAAAAAAATATCAAAACAAAAAATGTAACAAAACAAATAAGTAGATAAAAATGTATTCAAAATATTTGTGTATTTTAATTTAAATATCTTATTGTTATTAGTGCGAAGCAAACCAGCTGTTTACCGCAAGCGACTAGTATATATTTATTTACTATTTTCCTGTCTTTCATTCGTTATAAGTAGTAGGATGTGCTATTTTCTCTGACTAATGATTATTGAAAAATGTAATCCTTTTATTTTTTTCTAATTTCTTTTATTGTCAAGAATTATTTTGGTAGAAAACTTTGATTTAAAAAAAAAAAAAAAAACTACTGGTCGCAAGCAGGTTTTTTATTTTTAGTTTTTACATTAAAATAAAACTATTTTATTCTTTCACTGCTGACTTGTTTGTATGTGTATTTTAGAGTCCAGAGAAAGGTCCCCTTGATGAAAAAGATATGGAAATAATAAGATTAAAAAAGAAATTAAAAACACTCTTAACTGCCTTCAAGTTACAACACTGGAAGTTAACTCAAGAAAAATTGGAATTAAGGCATAATATGAGTAAGTAAATTGGTTAAATTTTATGCAATTTTGTATTGCTCCATTTATTTCAATCATTGTTTGATTTCTTCTTTTTTTCTTCCGTGGCAGTAAAAACAGTCTCTCAAAATTGTCAATAAAAAGGTGTCATAGAATTTTGAAAAAACGCTTTTTTTTATATATATATAGGAAGAACTCAATTTAGATAAATGAAAACTGATTGTAATTAATAATCAGATTAGGGTACCCATTTTCCTTGCACGATACCTAGGACTTAAAATGCAAATTCAGTGTATATTTGTGATATTTATATGCTGTTATTTCTCAATGTGTACTTAACAACCAAATTCAAATTGTTTATAGCTAAAACCTTTTTAAATCTATCATCGGATTATTTCAACAGTCATATATCTTAACTAAAAATGGGGAATAAAATTACATTAAGCTGCAAATAAAATAGTAAAAATATGCTGAAATATCCATTTAATGATTTAAAGGCAAAAAATTTCTTACCTTAGTATTTTTTCTTAGATTTAATTCCAGAAAGTGAATGAAAAAACTTTTTTAAATAAATTATTCAAAGGTTATATTGTTGCAATGCCATAGGTGACAACTTGTGTGAAGTCTGATATGAATATCTTGAAAATTCAAAAATATTTTCCACACATGCACAATACGAAGGAACTATTTTAAATACTCATATCTTGAGCAATTATTAATGAATTGTTCTCAAATTTTAAAATAATACTTTTTTTTGAACTTCTAAATTGTTCAAAAAATTTTGTTTAATTTTGCTAAACTTATAACAAAGAAACGCCAAATAAAAAAATTTGTTTTTTATAAAAAATATTTAAGCTAGGCTTAGAAAATTTTATACTATTATTGTATGTAGTTACCAAAGTAATTGATACAAGTTTTTTGTTTATTTTTCTTTCATACGATATTCAAAAACAATTTATTTAATTATTTATTTATTGCCAATCCCCCAAACCTTTCAAAGCTTCGATAATAATGGGAATTAGTATTGCTAGTTATGAGAAATCATTTCACCTAAACCTCTAAAGTTATAAAATAATGCTCTAAGTATTTCCTGAGAAATTTAAAAAAAATTCTAAAACAGAAAGTGTCTCTTCAATTACTGTAGGGTAGTGTATGTTGCTACCATAAGAAAAACTTTTTCATCTACTGCCAGCAAAGTTAAAAGCCATGCATCACTATACTGTACTTTTACAAAATGCTGTTTAACAATGGCTGATCCGAAGCGGCAGCTAGTTTGTTTTTTTAATATTATCATGTCATTATATGAGAGACCTATAAGTTACCACAGTTTGGTAAATGTGCAGTATACTGCTTTCCAACCAAAAATTAATTGGGAAAAACTGCAGAAATGGCATGAGAAATTTTATAATTTTTCTTTTAAATAATTTCAATAAACTTTGGAAAAGACAATAAAACTATTGGGTTGTTCGGAAAGTAATTTCGTTTTTTTGGGGGAAATGAAAGACAATTTTCGTATAATGAATAAATATTTTATTAAATCATTTATTGGCCATTCTGGTCCAACACCTTTTGCCATCTTTCTGGTAGTAGCATGATTCCACGCTCATAAAATTTTTGGTCTTTGCTGGCAAAAAACTGATCCAGGTGATTTTTGACCTCTTCATTAGAAGTAAAGGTCTTACGGTCCGAAAAATTTTATAGTGACTTGAACAAATAATAATCCGAAGGAGCCAATCTGGAGAATATGGTGGGTGTAGTAGTGTATGCCATTCAAGCTGTGAAAGCTTTTGGCGAGTGACAGAACTTGTATGAGGTCTCGCAATATCTTGGTGGAACACTATACCTTTTCTGTTGATTAATTCTGGCCTTTTCTGTTGAAGAGCATCATTCAGTTTGTCCAGCTGTCGACAGTAGACTTATGAATTAAGTGTTGTGTTATCCAGTAAAAGCTCATAAAAACTATTCCAGTAAAAATTCATAAAAACAACCCGATATAACTTTAAAGTTCGAACATGTAGCAATAAATTATTGTAGGTGTGAAAAAATTTTGTTTTTTCATTTAAACTTTTTTTAACCAAGACAATTTAAGATCTAGGTAATTTATATAAAATAAAAAATAAAAAGCAATATTATTTTTTCCACAGAGGATGTTACAATTTTAGTTTTTAGGAAAAATTGATATTATTTTTATTACTTTAAGGAATAGTTATTCTTTTTCTGCCAAACAAACTAATCCCGGAGCCTAAAACCTAATTTTTTTCTATGGCGCTCTTCTAGATGTATTGTTTTCATTTATTGTTTTGCATCCTTAATATGAAATCTAAAATATGCATACAAATTATATCTGGTATAGCTTAAAATTTTCACTTTTGCCTATTATGTTATATTTTGGGCCGCTAATTTTGTATTTACTTAACATAAGACTCTTGTTTTCAATTTATCACATGATGTGTCCTATTCATGTGTGCAGTTTTCCAATTAATATCTTTCCTGAACCTGTTGTTTTTAAAAAATCAATATTTAAGCTATTAATATTTAAATAAATATTTTTTAAAAAAATGGATAAAAAATGTCTATAGTCAATTATGAATTGAACTTTAGTTTTCCATTCATTTAGATCTTATAATCATGGAGATGCGGGCCAGCCTTGAAGCTGAAAAAAAACAAGCTGTTGAAACATTAAGCCGGAAATTTGATCATTTCAAACAAAAGGCTGTTAATGAAGTAAAGAGAAATCAATGGGTATTGTTACTTTTTTTTTACCTAAGATCTATTAATTATTTTTTTACTTAATGCATTTTGAATTAATGCTAAAGATATTGAACAGTTTAAATATTTCTTTTAGTGTGCATTTTGTTTAAATGAAGCAAGATATCAGTGCTGCTGGAACACTAATTATTGCTCAGTTAATTGCCAAAAACGTGATTTTCTTGTACATAAAAAAGTATGTACTCGAGTGAAACATAAGCCAAGCTCTACTGTGATTGGTGATTCAGGAAGTGAGGTGAGATTGATTTATTGCAAATATAATTGCAGCCAATATGATAAATAATTATTTTTAAAGAAATATCTGTAGTTTCAGCACACTGTTTTTATAATCTCGTTTTTTACATTAAATTTTATTAACTTTTTTTTTAAATCAAATAAACCAATTTCAAAATATCATTTATTGTAATGTCTGCCAGCTAGGAGGCCAGGCAGTCAGCGTGCCTGACTGTGAAGAGAACAGTTGCGGGTTCAAATCCTGCTTAGGGTATGGATGTTTCTCTCTGTGTGTTGTTCTATGTAGTGTGAATGTGACCAACTCTATAAACGGGTATCTGTGGGAGCGTGGTATAGGTAATGTTGCTAGCCTCCATACATTATACAAAAGTTATCAATCTTATATTTATTTTAAGCACTTTCCAAAAAAAATGAATTGACAAACACGAAATTAAAAAGAAGGAAAAATAGAATAAAAATTACAACAAAAAAAAAATCAGAAAGCCTTTCTAATGCACAGGCTTTTAGTCGGATACTAGCAGTTACACTTCTGGAATAAGCTTTGTATGTTCTTCCAACCCTGCAATACTTTTAATAAATAATTGCACTCAGATAAAACATTTTATTATTTTAAAAGATCTATGGGCAGAAGTTGAATTCAATGTTTTTTTTTAAAGCTGGAAAGAAAATTCGAAATCAAACATTTTGTGACATTTTCTACCTTTTTTATACTGTAAAAAAAAGTATTTGTACAAATATTCTGTATACTGTTATTATAAAATGTACTTGAGGGAAAAAAATTATCATCTTGGAATATATTTATCTTTTTAATTCTCTATAGCCAAAGGATAATAAAAAAGTTTATGTTGTCAATATGGTTTCGAAAAGTGATTCCAAATCATCTCAACTTCAAATTGTGCCAGCGAATTCAAATGTTTCGGTCTTATCTAGTACAACTACTACAAGTGTGCCAAGTACTAATGTTCAGGTAATTAAACATAACTATATGAATCGTAAAATAAATATTTATGAACTTAAACTGTTAACTTATCTGATACATTAATTACTAATTGCTTTGCGAAAAGCATTCCTGAAATACTGTGTTAGTCAAAGTAGCTCAAGCTGTTGAATGGTTAAGAAAATAAATTAATAAAGCATATGAAACCAAGTAAAATTAATGAGCTACCCTTAAGCACTTAAATATCTATTCAAGATAAAATAAAAGTATAGTGTATCTGTTTGCTGCTTTCTCTTAAGATACAAAGTGTGGCAATTTATATATATTATGAATTTTGCAACCAATTTGAAGAATTGGAGATTTCTGGTTTTTAAGACCTCCATCCCAAAAGCCAGAGAAGTTAGGATGTCTAAAAGTAAATAAATTATTTTATTGATTATTAAATACTTTTTTTATTATTATTAAGTATAATAATTTAAAAATATTTTAAAGTATATTGTAGCTCAACCCACTATGAAATCTAGTGATTCAACAACACATGAAGTCTCTAAAGCAGAAGAGAAGCAAGTATCAATGGGTAACTTCCTTTTTTTTAAACATTACGTTCTGTAATCATGACCTTTAATTTAATGCTTTTTAGAATCCTGAAATATTAAAAGATTGATGTAAGAACCACATAAGGGTTTACAAATTAATATATAAAAAAAGAAAAAGAATGTAATCAATGATTGCTGTTGATGAATGATTGCATGTAATCAGGGCCGGATTAACCTATAGGCACGTGCCTAGGGCCTACAAAAAACTTGAGAGAAAAAAATTTGTTGACAAAAATAATTTAGCTTTAAAAACAAGTGTATTTTGCCCAAAATTATGAAGATACAAATAAAAATATAATATTTTACGGTAATAAATTATTTTGCAGAATCTTATGATCTAATATATTACTTTTTTGCGATTTTTGGATTCAACGAAATCTTGTATTATGCTGTCGAATTCCAAACTACTCAAAATGTCGGATTCAATAGACATAAGTGCGAGCGATGACAAACGATCTTGATTCATTGTTGAAAGCAAATAATTTTTTAGCAAATAGCTTTTAGTTTAATCTCAGATTCTGACAAATTTTTTTGAACAAGAAAACCGAAATTATCGTACAAATCACTGTAAGCTTTACGCCATTTAGTCATTTCTGAAATTAATACATCTAAAATGGCGTAATACGTTTCCATACGAAGAAAATTTTAATCTGGAGAAAGATCTTTCTCCTTCTGCATTTGATCCAAGAATCGACAAATATATTCTTAATGCAATGTGAACGTTAGGAAAAGTATTCACAAGTTTATCTTTAATTTGAGCCTTCAACATTTCTTGTGCAGATTTATGTTCATGCAGATTTATGTTCATACAAATTTGAAAATAGTAAAAATTCATCTACAAAGTTTTCCTCTAAATCGGATGAGTAAATTTTCACCAAATTTTGCGCTTTTAGTTTAATCTCAGATTCTGACAAATTTTTGTGAACAAGAAAACTGAAATTATCGTACAAATCACTGTAAGCTTTACGCCATTTAGTCATTTCTGAAATTAATACATCTAAAATGGCGTAATGCGTTTCCATACGAAGAAAATTTTAGCATATATTTTGAAAAAAGGGGAGGATGGGAGGGCCCATAAATGGCTGTGCCTAGGGCCTAGGAAAGGTATAATCCGGCTCTGCATGTAATGAATGATTTGCTGGCTAAAACAGTGAAATAAAAGTGATTGTCAGGGACAACTTTAAGTTTTGTTTCATCCAGCGATCAAATTGAATTTAAAATTTGCTTCACCTCGTCTTACCTGCCTTGTTGCTGATTCAATAGGTTTTGGTAATTTTTCCCTCAAATTTTATGAGATCCTTTATGTGGGATTTTATTTTTTACAAAGATAGATTCTAAAAACATTTATTACAAGCAATGGTTTCAGAACTTGAAGTATGTAAGATTTCAAATATATTTATGTAAAATCTCTAGTATTTTCCTTTTTGTTTTGAATAATATTAATTTTTTCCCCAGATACTAGTGAAATTATCAAAAATGTCAGAAATCGCAATTGTGATTTGTCTACAGCTATCACTTTACTGAATAAAAAGAATCTAGAAACTGCTGCATCTTCAGAAGAAAATAAAACTAAAGAACCTGATTTAGAAGAAATATACTTTCCTTCTCCTCCTCCGGTGAGTTTTGAAGGCTTAGATACTGCAAGTGCTGATGAAAGCATACTAATCAGTCAATCTGAGGCTTCTGAAAAAAATTCATCTGACACAGAAATTTTAAGTCAAGAAGACAAAAAAGGAGATTCATCTGCTGAAGAAGAAATAAATTTTTCAGATAATGATGACGCTGATAATGAACAAGTTAGTAACTACCTATTTATTGTTAAATTTAGAAATTAAAAAAAAAACATGCACTTCAGTTTAAATGTGCTTTGTATTTGTAGGTCTCTATAGGAAATGGAGTTGAAATAAAGGCTAAGTTTTTAAACAAATGCCTGATATATGGCAAGACGGCCAAGAGATTAACTCGATGTTTGGTTGATGTTCTTTTTCCAGACTTGAAACAACTGGCTACTTGTTCTGCTTTTGGTCAAAAATCTAATGTCACAAAACTTACTCGTGCTGCGTTGCCTGGAAAGAAAGTTACTGCTATCCTTGGTGTGTTATCATTAGTTTTATATTACTAAAAGTATTACACATTTTCATCAATCTTGAATTGTTGTACAATGTGCTAAAGAACTTGAATCACCTTGAATAACTTTTAATCTTATGATCGGATTTTCAAGTACTAGGACTCTATCTTAATGGTTCGAGGGAGATACCTCAGATATGCTAATTAATTTGTGTAAACGATATTTTAAACTACGAAATCACACAAAAACGTACTTTCTCTAAATTAACATGCTTTTTAACAAATTAATAAATAAACAATGAAAAAAAAGTAAAAAAAAATGGTACAAAATCTAAAAAATTTCTGACGCACGAATTCGGTTCAATTTACATATTAAAAAATAGATATCAATTATATTTTTAAAAAAATTATCAATTTTAAAACTTACTTTTTTAACAGATAGTTGATTTAACATCTTAAATAACATTAAAAATTAATTATCTTTTAATATTAGAATAAAAGTATTTCATTGTAGACTTTTATACTTACTGCCAATTGGTGTTTCCCACAATGACTAAAAGTTACTCTTTAATTACATTTGATCTGTGATAAATAGCAGCAACATAAAATAAAATGTGTGTGTTGACCAGTGTACCTCATTATTTCTATGTACTTGAATCTTTTCATTATATATGCTTCTTTAGTTTATTTTTGTAATAATTTTTTTAATTGTTTATTTTCAACTTCAATAGCAAATAAAAGTGTTTTATTAAATATACATATATATATATATATATTTTACAAGACCGAGACAGGACTAAAAAAGGCAGGATTTCTTTTTCTGTTAGGGACCATTTTATCCAGGAATAAAATGTTCAACACCCCTTAAATTCTACTTCTATTATTGTAACACTGTGTATATAATTGAGAAATATTAGTTTTATTACAGAAAAATGAAACTTTATTTTAACTTATTCTATTTGTGACCGAGAAAATGTTATAATAACACGATTTGCATAGGTTTTCAAAACCCTTAAAAGGTTCTTAATTCATGAGTCTGTTCTTAAAGTCTTTTAAAAAAACACTAGTTTTTAGTTTACATATTCTAAAAATTGTGTTGTTTTTTGGCTCCCTGCAGGAAAATAAACACCTTTTTATGTCCTTCGGAATTAATTTATTTTTACTAATTATAATTAATTAATTTTTTTACTATATAAATCTTAAAAACATGTTTAAAAGCTTTTATTTACTTGAATTATGAAACACGTATGTGCTTGCTCTCTTTTAGAAAAATGATTTAGTTCTAGAAATTTAATTCATAAAACTTTTTAAAATCTTTTAAAAATTAAAGAAACACTTGCTTTAATTTACATGTTCTTAAAATTTTAATATTTTTTGGCACCCAGCAGAAAAATAACTTTTTTTTTTATCCTGCAGACTAATTGATTTTTATTGCTGTATAAAACATAAAAACATGTTTAATTACTTTTATTCACTTGGAGTATGAACTGTGAATAAGCTTTCATTTAGAAAAATCATTTAGTTCTAGAAATGTATTTAAAAATATTATTTTCAATATATTATGTTTTCTATAATGTTCTAATGTCTCTTGTTTTTCAGAATTTGTTCAAAAAAGATTCCCAACAGCTACTAGAACAGAGATTGTTTTAGCTATAAATATGAAATGCAAAGAAGCTAGAAATATAGTAGATAAGCAAGACGGAGAAAAGCCTGTCAAAAGAAATTTGGTAAGGCAACAATTTAAAAAAAAAAATTGGAACAGATCAAATTCGATAATAGTTACATGCATAAGCAGCTAAGAATGTTGATAGTTAAAGCTCAGTAATTTTGTTTATTTTTATTTTTGCACATATTATATATCATTTGCCATTCGAGCTTTAATTTATCTATTTCATGTCTTTTTAATCACTATAATTTAAAAATTCACTGTTTTTAAAGTGCAAAGATGCATTAGGATTTTTTAATCAGAAATTCGTTTAAACTTACTAATCTATAATTTCGAAAGAAATCATTAAAAATTTAGCTATAAAAACAATTGGGAAAGAGAAATAATAAGCTTTTATCATTTAAAATTAATGGTACAAGAGCTGAAACTGACTCTATTATGCCAAACTCAATCATAATTTAAATTTCAAAATAATGGATAATTAGTTTTTGAGCCAAGAGTAGGATTATGTTTTTCCCACCATTTGGTAGAATTTTGCCTCTTCTCAACAAACAAAAAAATAATAATTACGCCTTACTTGTAAGTAGTTAATGACTCACCATCATGATTTACAGTTTATATTCACATAATTTATGACTCATTAATTCATGCATTCTGAAAATCCTATTATCAGCTATTAATATTTATTTTATTTACAAATCATTCTTCACAATTAAATCTTTGATTTACAAATAATGCATTGCTGTTTGTATTCACAATTTTAAGAAACATTGTGATTCTTATCTAAGGTTTTTATTATTTGAAACATGTTTGTAACTTTTCAATTTGAAGTTCATGCAGATAAATTACATTAAATTTGACTGTAATCAATAATAAAATGTCCTTAAAAAAACCGGTGTATTTTTTTATGATGCCATACAGCTTTTTTACAAAATTCATCTCTGAAGAGCAAAAAGGTTTATAACTCATTCTACTGTTATAAGTTTTGACTGTCTTGGTTGAATAGTGATATATATATTGTTAACCTTTCTTTTGTAGAATTTAACTTGTAAATCCTCTTTTTTTTTTCCCCTTGACAATTCTTACAATTTAAAGAAACAAAAAAGGGTGAAAAAATTACAAAAAAAAATTCACTTTATTAATTAGCAAGATAATGCTGGTGTATTAGAGATTCAAGAAAGAAAGAAATTTGTAATACCATAATATTAATTTCCTAAAAATGCTTTTGAAATATTACTTTCAATTTATTAAATTATGATTGTGATAAATCTAGAGTCTTACGAATCAATACTGTGAACGCTAAAATATCAAAACTATATATTATGTACCATTTAGGGAGCAAAATTTATGGAATAGCTGATAAAGATGCATCTACAATATTGTACTGCTTTGCCAAAAATTATTATGACAGTGATCATAAGTACTTTTTCCATACATTTCATACTGTTCTTACCAATCTCTCAATTAATAAAGTGCCTCTTTTATTGGAGCTGTGTCGCGTAAAACTGATAGTTTAAAATGCTGTTTGGAAGGAAAAGTATTATGTTTGCATTTAATTTTCCTTTAAAATGACAAATTTATTCACCTCATTTTTATTTAGTTTCGTAGGTTATTGGCCAGAGATCAAAGTCTTGAAGTAAACAAAACGAGTACAGCAACAACTACTACTGGAATCTCTGTTACAACTGGTTCCATGAGACCGAAGGCACCTATAATGGTAATGAGACAACCGCCTACCAGCAAAAGTATCACTCTCAAAACTCCACCTCTATCGTCAGAACCTATTACATCTCCTACTAAAATTGTTAACTCGCCAAATATATTGAGATGTTCTCCTCAGGTCTTAATAAGACCAAAATTTTTACAACCTGGGGATAAGCCGAATTCCCAACCCAAATTTTCTCCAAAAACTTTTAGAACTTTACTACCTAGTCCACAACCTATTGGAATTTCACCCAGAGAACCTAGAAAAATTATTCTACCCTATGATGCTTACAAGAAATCTGTTTCTCCACGGTCTTCTGCTGGTACCAACCCTTCCCCTAGACCTTACATTATTTTGGGAACTTCTTCTTCATCTTCACCGCAGTCTCTAGCTGTTACCCAAGTAAGTGTTTATAATAAAAACAATCTTTCATTTTCAATGGGTGTATATATTTATTTCTATGTTATTGATTGAGAATAGCTATTCTAATTTATTTTCCAACTTTTTTAAAGAAAAAAAATATTGATAAAACATTAAAATAAGATACAATGTCAAGTTTTATTTATTTTATTTCAACCAAGTTTTGTGAAATCTAAATGTTTTGATAACTAAACAGAATAGTAGTGTCATAAAAAGAATTAATCTATAGGATTATTCCAAGGGCACAAAAAATTTCTAGAGCCTAATATTACCACTAACCAATTTTTTTTTTAGTCGGAGGGTTAAAATTTCCTTTTCTTATGATGCTTTTTTTCAGTTACAGCTTTTATAAAATATTTTTAGAAATGAAGGTTTATATTTTGTTTAAAACAATTGGATAATGTAACTAAGTAAAAAAAAATTCGTGATTTTGCCCAATTTATTAATAAACCATATGTGTTAAAAATAATAAAATTCAGCACATATTGAACTAGTAATAATTTATAAAACTAAATTTAAAGTTCCACTTAAGGAATTCAAACTAATAAATAAACAAATTGATACATAAAGTTTTTTTTACAATGAAAAATTTCCCAAGATCTGCCTGAATTTCTCCAAAACCTCGTTCCCATGATAGGAAGTATTCTTCCCTGGATTGTTCTAAATTAATATAAATCTTTGAACTAAGAACATTTTATAAAAAGTCTAACCAACCTGAATTGTTCCATCTTAACATTTTAAGTTTATTCAACATACTTTAAAAAAAACTACCTTTAGAGCTTACATAAACCTTAAGGTTTAATTGTTCTATGTTCAGCAATATGTTTATGCAGTCAACCCTGTTGAAAGGAATATCCTCGGTTCCAGCCAAATCTATGCAATGAAGTAGGTTATTCGATTAAAAAGGGGAGTTCAATATTCATTCTTAAATTCTAAACTTTTGCGAAATTTTACTTTTTAATGGCATTTAATGCTAAGTGTGGCGTTTTGAGTAAATAAACTCAGTTTCCTGATCAATTAAAACATTTATTATTAAAACTGTCTGTGTTAGTATCATAAAATATAAATGTCATTTAAAGTTACATAAAAATAAATCAACGTAAATGAAAAGTATAATATAGGTACAGTACAGAACCCGTTATCCGGAAATCGGAAAACCAAAAAACCGGAACGAAATTCAATAAATTTCCCCGCTATTTTTTTTAAAAAAAATGTTTTTCCTCATAAGATTTTAGGCTTTTTCTTTCTTTCTTGAAAGATTCTTACCTTACCATCATTTTGGAAATAATCATTAGTGTATTACTTCATCGTTTTTTCTTCTTTTTAAGATTATTTCCAAACATTTTTTTCTTTTTTAGTAGGATTTAACAATAAAAAAACGGTTTTTTGTAGCGATTCAGAAAACCGGAAAAATCAGTTATCCGGAATAGCGATGGTCCCGATCGTTCCGGATAATCGGTTCTCTACTGTACTATAATATTTGATAATTATTATCTATAATCGAAGACTGTTTTTATGCCTGTTGAATTTGTCCATTCAATTTAAATTTTAATTCATTATAATTATTATTTAATTAATTAAAATTATAATTATTATTTAATTAATTAAAATTATTAATTTAGAAATTAATTAAATTTTTCCTTTCAGTTTCTACTAAGACTTTCAGGACTTGCATATTCCTTTCGAATACATTCAGAATTTGCTTTTATTTTTACTTAATTTTTTCTAACCCTCGAAACTTTAGAAATTCCAAATTAATGTGCTACTTTAGTTTGAAATTTATTGTTTCCAAGAAAAACGGATATTCTATTTTAGCTGGTGAAACATTTCTCAAAAATAGAAAAAAAGTTTCATTTCAGTACCTCTTTACACAGCAAATATCCATTTAAACAAGGAGGTTTAACATTAGTTTCATATAAGGTGGTTTTTTTCCACATTAAATTTTACTCGTATAAGCAGGTTATTCAACTATCTGACATGCAATTAAGTGGGGACAACTGTATTAGAGTTTTTGTGTTTAATTGGCTTAAATGAGTTATATTCAGTCAAACCTTCTTTAATGACAACTTTTAAACAATGACAAGCTTCAAAAAACAGCTGCATATTTATGGAACTAAATATCCTCCTGACAGTTTACATTAGGGTGAACTTCTGAGTGAAGTCATCCCTTGAAACCATTAAGATAAAGTCCTAGAACGTAAATATCTGATCATTAGATCGAGTTATTCGGGATGCTCCGTTTTTTATTTTGCGCACTGTACATCAATTTCTTTTTTTTCCCGTTCTAAGTTTAACTATAGCTATAAATTTTTGTTGTTTGATACTGTATCTACAAATAGCAACAAACCTTCTGACACAAATCATGGGCATCACCCCATGAGAAAAATAGTTAGTTTGAAGGTTTTGCTGTATGTAATTGTCTAGTAAGAAACTTAATTCAAATCAAAATGCACAAAATTCTGTAATTTATTATTTTGTTTATTTCTTTTAGCCAAGTTCACTGCCATTGCCTCTTCTAAGAAAATGAGGAGCTTCCCCGTTCATCTCTGCATGTATCATTAGTCTCCATAAATGACCAATGTTTGTGAATTGTGATAGTTTCTTTTTCATTATGTTGAAACATGTGCCATAAATGACACTGAAAATCAGCTTTAACTTGTTCAAAGATTACCAATTGCCATGATTACCTCCTTAAAATATTGATGGATAATTGAAGAAAATATTATGCAACAAATTCAAGGTTGCTTTAAAGAAAAATTACATAAAAATGTACTGCCATTAAACATTTAAACTCGATTATTCCTTCATTAATTTTATCAGTTTCTTTGTATTCTTATACAGTAGGGAACCGATTATCCGGAACGGTCGGGACCATCGCTATTCCGGATAACTGATTTTTCCGGTTTTCTGAATCGCTACAAAAAACCGTTTTTTTTATTGTTAAACCCAACTAAAAAAAAAAAAATTGGAAATAATCTTAAAAATAAGAAAAAACGCTGAAGTAATACACTAATGATTATTTCCAAATGATGGTAAGGTAAACATCGTTAAAAAAAGAAAGAAAAATCGTAAAATCTTATGAGGAAAAAATTTTTTTTTTTAAAAAAAATGGCGAGAAAATTTATCGAATTTCGTTCCGGTTTTTTGGTTTTCCGGTTTTCTGATTTCCGGATAACGGGTTCTCTACTGTATTACAAATTGTAAACTTTTTTCTTAAAGTTTACTTAAAATATTTTCTTTGTAGACACGTTATGTAAAAATAATGAGTTATTCTATCATTTAACATTTGAACTGATAATTATATTTCTTATTCATTGTAATGTAACTTTCAATTTACTGAGTTTTAAAATTTATATTTATTCTCTTTTTCCATTACTGAATAATAATAATACTTTACATTTGTATAAGTTTTTCAAAATGGGATATTCCTTAAGTGGGTTGTGACATTTCCCGACCATCCCAGTTAATTGAAAGTCAGCTGTAGGCGTTCCTACAAGTTCCTTACTTGTGAATTATAATGTTAGCTAGTCTTTTTGTTTTTTTTAATTGGCACAAAATAATTTATGAATAGCATTCCACGGTTTAAATGCATGTAGCTGCCGATTCTCTTAAAAAAATGGGGATGCTCCCAGTTAGGGGAAATCTCTCTGACTTAGAAGATATTCAATTTTTCTGAATTTTTAACATTATTTGGAAATAATGAAAGATGTAACATTTTTGTAACTTTAATTTTTTAAACATTTATAAAAATTACATTATTTACATTTTCTATCTGTTCAAATTTTAAAAATTTCTCTTATTCAGCTCCAATGGTAAATGCATTTTCAACCAGTTAAATTTTTTGTAAATATTTTTACTCAGTAAACTTTTAAATGAATCAAGATTAGTCTTAACGATGCGTTTTTGATTTAAAATACTTTATTAGAATATAATAAGGTAAATACTGGTACTTTTAGCTTAAAGGATACTTGTTTGTGTGTATATTATAAAGATGTGTTTATAAAATTTCAGTGCAGTTAAATTTTAAATCAGAATTTTAATTTCAGTATGTATTTTTTTCTGATATTCACCTTATTCCTGAAGGCAGTTTTCTTTACTATCAAAAGATAGTAACACAGTAAGAGACATTTATAAGTTCGCCCAAATGATGGGAATGCATTGATTTACATTAATTTAAGCTATGAAGTTTATATTTTTATTTAAAAATTTCTTATTAATGATTCAAGTTATGTAAAATATGCTATAAAGAGAAGAAAATCAATTTAAAAATGTTGCTAAAGATGAGAGTAATGTTAATGTAATCCTTTTGGTCATTATGTAAGAAAAGAAAAAGGTATTTGTAAATTTTTATTTAAAATTTTTATCTTTATGTAAGATTTTGTGAGTTCAGTTGAAATATTAATTTTATAAGAACAAAAGTGAACATATTTATTCCTATAGTTATTCAATAAAAAAAATTTCATATAAGTGTGGCAACTAACTAAAACAAATTTAAAAATAATATATTAGCAGCTTACCTTATATCGATCACAGCTCTGCAGCAAAACAATATTTTTTTTAATGCTACGCAAACCATTCTCTCATTAAAATAAAGTGAATAACTGTTTAAAAATATTCAATATTGTTTTGATTCTATCATTTTAACTGTATTATACACTAAATCTTTCGGAAACAAACAAACTCAGGATGTTAAAAAAAGAAATAGTTACATATTGCTATGATGTCATCGAAGAAATTAAGACTTCTGGTAGAGTTTGTTTTTTAGGATAGATAGCGAATAATTTGCACTAAGTAGGAAGTGCCCTCAACTACTGCAAAGTATCTTTGTTGTAACTGCAAAATGCTTATATTTTTTATTCTCTAATGTTGGCAGCTAAGAATGTGTGGTACTTATAGCTGCATTCCATTTTCGTTTTTTTATTTTAAGAAACTTGTCAATAGAATTTCACTGTATAAAATAAATATGAAAGTGTTGTTATTATTACAGTTTGTAATTTATTTTTACTTTAAACACAAACACCGTTATGAGTTTAAAAATTTTTTGAGTTAGTTTTTTAGTGCTTTAGTATGGCTTCTGGTCTTTTTAAATCATCATGCAAAAATAACAGTACAATGTTGATCATTTGAAATCTAATATATATAATTCTCTTACGTGGCTCCCAAATTTTGGCTGTATTTCTTTTCCGCCGGTGGCAACGTTTGCTTTGTTTTGAAAACACCAAAGCATTCTGCCTTTTAATGATGTGTTTCTGATCTAATATATATAATTCTCTTACGTGGCTCCCAAATTTTGGCTGAAGTACTTTGTACAACTAAATAAGATTCTTTTCACAACA